GGTAGAGTGCGGTGCTGATAACACCAAGGCCATGGGTTCGGATCCCATATAGGGATGGCCGGTTTGCTCACTGGCTGAGCGTGGTGCTGACAACACCAAGCCAAGGGTTGAGATCCCCTTACTGGTCATCTTTAAAAAAAAAAAAAAAAAAAAAATTTAGGATGTGTATTTTGGGCAAGAATACCACACAAATGATGTTGTGTCCTCGGGAGGCATATGATGGTGTTTCCCTATTATTGGTAATGTTTATGGTGATTACTTGATGTTGCTAGTAATGTTACTATTTTTCTCTTTGAAATTAATAAATATCTACTGGGAAGATACTTGGAGACTATGTATATATCCTGCTTCCACTACTTTTAGCATCCCTTGATGATTGCTAGCTGAAGGTTGCAAATGGTGATTTTTTTTTACTCCACTGTTTCTTCTATATTTTTTAGTTGGAATTCTACTGTAAGGAAGAGCTTTCCTTTGTTTCATTTTATCTATTAATACATTTTACTCAACGTTATTTTTGAGAATTATGCATGTAGATTCATGCTACCCGAGTTCATCAGGAAGTTGTTTTGATTGGAGTGGAAAGAGAGGTTAGGAGAGATGTGAAATAGAGATTAGAAGGCAGAATAGGGGTCACTGAGCTTCTTCAGACAGGCTCTGGCAGCTGGCAGGGCTGAGGAGGTGTAAGAGAGGAGCACCCTTCATGGTCACCATGGCCCTTGGTGAGTAATGGGACTGCCCAGGGTGGGTGGTGCTGTAAGGGACACCTCACAGAGGCTTGAGGACCTCTTCCCCAGAAGATTTGCCTGCCAGCTCTGAGGTCTTTCCTTTGCCTGTCTCTGACTTTGCCTTCCTCGTGTGGTATCTTCTATGAGAAGGCTGCATTAGTACCATCTACCCATGAATGCCTTTTGTGCAGAAGCAGGGTGACCTTGTAAATATGCATTGTGCTGAAAAGCTGGACTCCTGCATCCATTTCTTGTTCTGCCATTAACATTCTGGACATCCCTGGGGAAGTCCCTTTCCCTTCCTGAGCCTTGAGCACTATATCCAGAAGTGAACAAATTAGGCCAGAGTCATCTCTGAGATCCCTTCTTATTCTCACAGTCCTTGAGCCTTTGTAGGAAGGAGTGGAGAAGATGGGCTGGTGTGTGTCAGAGTGTGTATGTGAGGACCTCCGATAGCTAGAGTGTAGGTGTCTGTGGGGGAATGGACATTTCAGAGTGTTAGGCCCTACCTACCCTGGAAGCTCTCCCTTTTCAGCAACTTCACTCCAGTTTGATCAGCATTTCCTAAGCCCTTGAACACTACTTAGTGCACATGATTTTTTACTTGCTTCTCAACATTTCAGCAACTCAGCCAACATGGATTGACTACTTGACATGTACTAGGTAACATGTGGGGCCCTGTCAGGTTTGGAAAGAATCAAACAAGTTCCCTGCCCTCAGAGAGCACTTGTTTGTCAGGAGAGACAAAAAGATCTCTAAGGTGGGGAACTACAGCAGAGTGCTCTTCTGGAGCTAGAGGACTGGTCAAGAGCTACCAGAGCACATGAAGAGAGACTGTATCTTATGGCACCAGGAGAGGCTTTGTGGAGGAGATGGAGGAGATGAAGGGAGAACTTTCGAGCTGAGAGTAGAGCATGGTTTATGATATAGATAATGGGAAGTTGCTCAATCTGTCTGTTCAAGGAAGGAAGCTGAGTGTAATGTCCGTTAGCTAAATCATATGGGAGATAGAGTGGAGTGAAACCAAAAAGGTAGATGTAAGTCTTTAATAACATGCTTGAAAAAGAAATTAAGAAAACAATTCCACTTACAATAGCATCAAGAAATTAAATACTTTAGAATAAACGTAACAAAAAAGTATAAGCACTTATAGAGTAAAAATTTGAAAACATCACTGTTTCTCTTTAATTTTTTTAAAAATTAAAGATAATTTAAATAAATAGAAAGACATCAGTGCTGGCCAGTTAGCTCAGTTGGTTAGAGTGCCACCTTATAACACGAAGGTCATGGGTTTGGATCCTGTACCATCCAGCTGCCAGAAAAACAAATAAACAACAACAACAAACAATTAAGACATCTGTGTTCATGAATTGGAAGACTTGATAGGGTTAAAATGGCAACACTCCCCAAATTGATCTATAGATTCAATGCAATCCCTATCGTATCCCAGCTGTCCTTTTTTTGTAGAAATAGACAAAGTGATCCTAAAACTCACATGGAAATACAAGGGACCCAAAATACCCAAAACAATCTTGTAAAAGAACAAAGTTGGAGGACACACACATCTGGATTTCAAAACTTATCAAGCTACAGTAATCAAGATAGTATAGTACTTGCATAAAGGTAGACATGTAGGTTAATGGAATAGAATTGAGAGTGCAGAATTAAGCCTGTTTTTTTATGGTCAATTGATTTTTGATAAGGATGCCAAGACAATGGAGGAAAAATAGTATTTTCAACAAATTTACAGGGACAACTTAATATCCACGTGCAAAAAATGAAGTTGGATTCTTACCTCATACTGTACACAAAAACTAACTCAAAATAGCACAAAGACCTAAATAAAAATAAAAGAGCCAAAACTATAAAAGTCTTAGAATGGCATGTTAGGAATTTGAACATTGTTATATGTGCAATGGGAAGAGGTAGGTTTGTAAGGGTTAATAAATGATTCAACACATCTCCCCTTTACCTCTTCCGTGCCAGGCCCTGTGCTAGGTGCACAGATTAATCTGCCACAGTTCTGCCCTCATCAGCTTTCAGTCTAGTGTGGGAGGTAGATATGCACACTGACAATTACAACACGTGGTGGTAAGTATCATAGAGCTAGGTTTCTCAATCTTGGCACTATTAGTATTTTGCACTGGATAATTTTTACTGTGGGAGGCTTTCCTGTGCATTGTAGGACATTTTGCAGCATCCCTGCTCTCTCCCCACTAGATGCCAGTAGCACTTTCCTAATCAAGATAATCAAAAATGTGTCCAGACTTTACCAAATGTCTTGTGAAGAGCAAAATCACCCCAAGTTGAGAATTACTGTTGTTAGGTAAGCACAGTGGTGTTTTCTCACTAGAGTGCCTTAGAATGAGCCATTGAAGTTGTCCTGGAATACTGAGATGCCAGTACCTTTTCCCCAGTCATGTCTTGGCTATGTTGGGGCTCTTGGGTCCTCGGAAAGTTGTATTTAGCTTCTTTCTTTCTTTGCCTCTAGGCTGTGATCAGTGCAATCAGAAAATTTCTAGAAATCATCCCGGACCTGCACCTAGTCTACACCCATCATCCCCTCCTGCTCAGGTTCTTCCTGTTGTATCCAGAGCTGATGAGTAGGTTTGGGCACCGTGTCCTGGAACTTTGGTTCTCCTGGGAAGAGAGCAGCTACGAGGAACTGGATGATGTCCCTTCTGCTGGGCAGCCCACCCTTCCTACTGGCTTAATGTCCCTGTTCCAAATGCTCAGAAGCAGTCCCAGCATCCTGCTCATTTTGCTAGTAGGTGACCATTCATTCATTTCTGCATTCAGAGATGGTAGGCATCCTCTCTCTGTAGTAGGAGACACTTGGTTTAGAACTACTGCCAGTTTACCCACTCAGCACCCCAAAGGCTAGGGAGGGTGACACGGCCCATTAGAGAAGAGTGGGGACCCATTGATGCTCTTTTCGTTAACAATCATGATATTCTGACTTTATTGGAGTGACTGTGGTGGCAGTAACACCTGCATGTTATATACCCCATGCCCTTAGGTAGCTACGTCTGTCCACATTCACACATGCACACACATGCTCCCCATCACTCAGACTTAAATCTTTGATTCCCATCTCTAAGACCTGTCATCTTGTGAGGTCACACATAAGTTGGCTTGACAGGGGCTACATTCATGCTTTGGCTCAAGTTCTTCCTCCTAGGAGGAAGAAAGGAGAAACAGCAGGCTAAAAATAAAGCATGAGGGCCGGTCCATGGCTCACTGGGGAGAGTGTGGTGCTGATAACACCAAGGCCATGGGTTCGGATCCTATATAGGGATAGCCGGTTTGCTCACTGGCTGAGCGTGGTGCTGACAACACCAAGCCAAGGGTTAAGATCCCCTTACTGGTCATCTTTTTAAAAAAAAATAAAAAAATAAAGCATGAGTGCATAGGGGAGGAAGGCAAGATGGGATGCCAGGGAGAGTGGCAGTGGAAGGCAGAGTGAAGCAAGTATTCAGGGTCAGTGCCCCACACATTGTAGGTACTTATAAATATTTGATGACTCATTGAATTAGGGGTCTGGACAGCTCTAAGTCTCTCTCTCAAAAAAAAAAAAGTTGAATTCACATCCTCCAAAATATATATAAGGGGTCTTCAAGAAGTTTACGGAAAGATTCCTATTATCTTTTAATTCTATTTTTCCATGAACTTTTCGAAGTACCCTCATATTAATGATAATATCTTTTTTTTTCTTTTTAAACATGAAAAAATGGGCTTCAAGTGATTTGCCTGTGGTCACTAGAGTTGGGATTAAAACCTAGATTTTGACTCCCTAATATTCTTTCCATTAAACCAAGCTGACTTCTGAGAGACACCAACCCTGGTTTAGTGTTATGTCTAAAGGGAGAGTTGTTATTTTTGAGCACTGGGGATGTAGGGAAGAATTGGACCTACTCACTGCCCCATGGTCCAGTGAGGGAATCACACAATAAACCACTAACAACTGTACTAACAGTGTGGCAATAAAAGTATGTCAGAGTGCTTGGGTGGCAGGGAGGGCAGAAAGGTGTCACATATGCTGATCCTTAAAGGATTTGACTAATAAAACGGTTGTGGGGAGGATCCTTCCAGGCCAGTATAGCAGTATTAAAGTACTTACTGTAATTCAGGGATGTGAGTGGTTTGGTGTGGTTTTGGAGCTTGGAGGACATATCACAGACACAGGTTGGAGAAAGATAGGGAGGAGCAGGTTTTAGAGGCCTTGAATTCAGTCACTCACTTTTTCATTTATCATACATTGATTTGGTACTTACTATGCACTAGGCATTGGGGATACAAAGATAATTCAGGTATGGTCAGTCCTTGCCCATGAGGAAGTTATAGGCATTTGCTTTGTCTATATCTTTTAGGAACTTAGAATGTATTACTGGAGGGAGTGAATCAGAAAACGGTGAGGGGCCGCCGAAGGTTCGGATCCCATGTGGAGACCAGTTCCCGCTCACTGGCTGAGCGCGGTGCGGGCGCAACACTGAGGGTTGCGATCCCGTTGCCGGTCCCCGGTACGGGCGCGACACCGAGGGTTGCGATCCCGTTACCGGTCAGTAAAAAAGACAAAAAGGGGGAAAAAAAAAGAAAGAAAGAAAGAAAACGGTGAGGCTAAAAAGAATCTCAGATCATGAATCCAGGCTATGGGCATGGTAGAAGAGTATAAGCCCCTCTAGACTTCTTCCTGAGTTATTCTGTACATCTTCCATCCTGACCCAGACACTCACTGGAAATGCCCTCCCACCCTTAACACTCTCATTTCTTTCCTCTTTGTAGCTCAACCCCCAAAATTAATTGCCCTCAAAATCTTCACCTCCAACTCATTCCTCCGCCCATTGGCTTCTGGTTCTATCACTACTTGAAACCACTCTCACCAAGATCAGCAGCAATGTCCTTGGGGCTAACTACAGTGGACTTTTTGGTTCTCATTTTACATGACCTGTTGGTATTTGATGGTTGTCTGCTTCCTTTTTAGTGGCTCACTCTTGTTTTAGTCATGCCAGTTCTCTTAATTTTCCTCCTACCTATCTTGATGCTCCTTCTCAGTCTCTTTTATAGTTTTCCCTTCCTCTGCTAGCTCTTGAAAGTTGGTGTTCCTCAGAGTTCTGGCCTAGGCTGCCTTTCACTTAGTACATTCTCCCTGAGTCGTCTCATTCAGAGAAGCCTCCATCTTCCTTGACCTCTGTGGAGCATCCAGTCCTGAAGGCAGCTCCTTCCTGCTGAGCTCTAGGCCAGGCAAAGCACATGGCTTTGGTTGCTTCCTGCCTATATGCTGATGACTCAAATCTCTGTCCCCACACTTGACCTCTTTCCTGAGCTCAATCAGACCCATGAAGCCAACCATCTGTTTGACATTTCTGTCTAAAATGGAGCTCATTATCTCCTCTTCCAAATTCCCTTTCTCAGTCTGGGTCTTCCTAGGATTAAAGTCCCTTTCTTTCTGAAGGCCGTCCTAGGCCACTAGCTCCAAAGGGCATAAGTACGTAAAAGAAGCAATCAAAAGAGGAGGTGAATCTCAGAAGACTGCATCCTTAGAGAACCCATGTTCCAGGGAAGCTGGAGTGGACTCACCACCCTTTGTGCTTGTAACCCAGGCCTTGTCCTTGAATATGCACCCTCCTCATCACCTCTCCTTCCTGGAGGAGGTGGGGGCAGGGCAGAGAGGAGCCCTGTGCTTCACCTAACCTAGAGCTCAACAGAAGGAGCTGACTTCAGGACTGGATGCTGTATAGAGGTCTAGGAAGATGGTGACTTCTCTGAGCTTCAGTTTCCTCATATGTAAAACGGAGATAACATGAGGAAAGATGAGATAGTATATAGGAACATTCTTGGTATGCTGCACATGAAGGCCGACATTCACTAATCATGGACTCTGACTCTGGGCCAGATAAAGTTCAGGGCTGCCTGGTTAGCTCACTTGGTTAGAGCGTGGTTCTGATAACACCAAGCACCAAAGTCAAGGATTTGGATCCAAAACAAAACAAAAAACAAAGATAGTTCATCTCAGAGAGACTAATTGAATTGCCCAAGGTCATATAGGTGATAAGGGTCATGGCCATGACTGGACCCCAAAGTTAATGAGTTTTTCACTAAATTAGATCCTAGGAACATCAGTGGTAAGAAAACAGCAAGGAACAACTTTGTTGTCTATTCAAATATATAATTTGTACCATTTCTCACAAGTTTCTAGCCACAGGAGGGGAAAAGAGTCTAAAAATATGTGTTGGTACCAATTTCTGGTTTTGATATGGGTAATTAACAGCCGAAAACAAAGCTGTTAATTGCCACTCTTATCAATGGGTGGTCTTTCGTGTAGGTTGTTGAGATGTGAGAAACAATGATGTCACAGAAGCTCTGTTTGTTCCCTGCTTGACCACGTCACCCTCGTTGGTCCAGTCCTAGAGAGTTCTGGACAGCTCTGGGCAGCAGAGACTGCAGAATGGACCATGGTTCTGCTCACAGCCTTCCCTCTGACCCAGTGGTGGGGTGCACACCTTCCCCCCACATTCACCACAGCCAAGGGCCTAGTAGCCTCTTTCCTTTGGGTTCTTTAAAATTCATTAACCAAGATTTCTGAGGGACCAACTTTGTGGCAGTGGGGCAGCGATGTTCTGATGGTGAAGGAGCAGGATTCAGAAACTAGTTTGGCCTTCAGCCCCATGATCTTGGGCAAATCACACCCCTCCTCTGGGCTTCAGCCTCAAACCCTGTAAAGTAAAAGGGTTGAACAAAATGATTTAGATTCTCTCTAGCTCCCTCATTCTGTGATCCTGAGCTCCCAGAGATTTCTAAGTCCCTACAAGTGAGAAAGATGAAGCAGACGTCATTCCTTCTTTTTATTAACTCACAGTGTAGTAGAATGTACAACTCCACTACTTTCTTGATAGGCAAACTAATCTCCAGTTTCCTCATTTGAAAAATTGGGGTGACAGCCACGTGGAAGAGTTATTGTGAAGATATAAATAATTTATAAACAAATATTTGGCTACTGTATAAACAGCCCAGTAACTGACATTACTAGGGGTCTTCAGAAAGTTCCTGGAAAATATATATCATGAAAAAACTATGCATGGGTTTCAAAATGTTTTTGCACCAAAATAAGCTTGTACTAACTTATATGAGTTGTTATAACACTGTTCAGCAATGGGGGACCCGGGAGCAGGGGACCCAGCACCAGGGGCCCTGCAGTGGGGGACCCAGCACCAAAGGCCCAGTACTGGAGACCCAGCACTGGGTGCCCAGCAATGGCCCCCCAGCTGGCACTTTGGCTTCGGAGGACACAGGCAGGGATGCTCACAGTGTGGAGATAATACCAAAGCTGTAGGGCTTGGAGGTCTGGAGCCATACCCTGGGGGGTCCCCCCCACATGTTGGTCCCCATGGTGGACCAGAGTGAGCTGGCCTGGAGGCTGCTGAGCCACCACCACAGGGCACAGCTCTTGCTACACGCCCACACCCAAGTCTGCGCACAATGCCAACTATGGGTAAGAGAACCCATACTGCGAAGTGTGCCCCAAGGACTGGCCCCTCATCATGCAGTTTTGTGCCACTGACTGGAGGTCTTTGTCCTGGCGGCTCTCCTGGCTCAGGACTACTGCGACACTGTCGACCTGAACTTGGAATGCCCACAGATAATAGCTAAGAGAGGTCACTACAGCCATCTGTAGGTCAGTCTTGCCTTCCTGCAGGAGTGGGATTTGCTCCAAAGAATGATTCTACTGGCCTACAAGAGACTCCCTGTTCTCGCCACATGCAAAATCTGTTATCTTCCCAGAGATTAACAAGACCATGAGGTACTCCAAGATGCTGGAGAAGGCCAGCTGCCAGTTGCTGATTGTGCATGGGCACACAAAGGAGCAGAAGGGTTAGTCCCTGTCAGGCACAGTGTCCTACAAGTACCTCAAGGCCGTGTAGAAGGCTGTGACCATCCCTGTGTTTGCCAATGGGAACATCCAGTGCCTGCAGGATGTGGAGTCCTGCATCCAGGCCACGGGTGTGCGGGGGTCATGAGTGCAGATGGCAACCTGTACAACCCTGCCCTGTTTGAGGGTCAGAGCCCTGCCATGTGGGAGCTGGCTGAGGAGAACCTGGACATTGTGTGCCAGCACCCCTGCCCACTGTCCTGCGTCCACACCCACCTCTTCAAGCTATATACCACATGCTTCAGGTATATCAGCAGCTTCAAGAGGAGGGCATCGCTTCAGGGGCTGAAGCTGTAGTACTGGGAGGAGATAGCCAGGCAGGAGGGAGAGAAGCAGGCTGGAGACTTGCTGTTTTTCCACTGGATCTTCCAGCCCTACATTCAGCTAGGGCCCAAGGAGGGGAGCAAGGAGAACAGTGGTGCCCACAGCAAGCAGGCCCTGGAGGAGGAGGAGGGTGGCAGAGACATCCTGTCCAAGAATAAGCAGAAGCAGAAGCTGGGGAACCCTCACAAGACCTTTAACCCCTCCCTGAAACCAAAACATGCAAAGTGTGACCAGTATGGAAACCCAAAGGACAACAGATGTTGTTCAATCCGTACCATGGCTGCTGCAAGAAATGAGCCTTAGGAGAGACCATGGACTGCCCAGGTCACAGGTTGCTTTTTTTTTTTTTTTGAGACTGGCCGCACCACGCTCAGCCAGTGAGCACTGTGAGCGCACCAGTCATCCTCATATAGGATCCGAACCCGTGGCGGGAGCGTGCCCAAGTGCGCCATGGGCTCGGCCCCACAGGTTGCTTTTTAAAACCAAATTGGAGAAGTCTCTGGCCTGGAAAGGGGCCCAGCTTGAGCTACAGGAGCCTCAGCAGGCACAGCCTGGAGTACCAGGCAGCTTCTCTGAAGTTGTGGGCAGCACCCTGGCCTGGAGGGCCAGCAACAAGCTCATCCTGCCCCCATCTCTGCCCCCGACCAAGATTGCTGCTGAAGCCTGGACCCATCTTACTTAAGGAAATGCCTTTTACTCAGGGAATCTCCTGCTATTTAGTGGAGAAGGATGCACCCATGTCCTCCCACTGGCCCACACTGGGGGCCTGGAAACACTGCACTCGGAAGCAGGCCTCAGGCTGCTGCACTGCCCTGTTCTCAACTCGTGTTTTATCAAAAATGAACAATAAATCATTTGAAAGAAAAAAAAAGGATAACCATCAAATTTATGATGAGGCTTGGGTGGAAGAATGGTGAAATCATTGATGCTTTACAAAAAGTTCACGGGGACAATGCCCCAAAGAAATCAGCAGTTCACAAATGGAGAACTTGTTTTAAGAAGGGATGAGACGATGTTGAAGATGAAGTCCACAGCAGCAAAACAGCCACCTCCATTTGTGAGGAAAAAATTAGTATTGTTCAAACCCTAATTGAAGAAGACCAATGATTAACAGCAGAAAAGATAGCCAACACCATAGACATCTCAACTGGTTCAGCTTACACAATTCTGACTGAAAAATTACAGTTGAGCAAACTTTCTACTCAATGGATGCCAAAACTGTTGTGCCCAGATTGGCCGGAGACAAGAGCAGAGCTTTCAATGGAAATCTTAAACAAATGGGATCAAGATCTTGAAGCATTTCCTTGAAGAATTGTAACAGGAGATGACACATGGCTTTACTAGTAAGATCCTGAAGACAAGGCACGATCAAAGCCATGACTACTGAGAGGCAGAAGTGGTCCAGTCAAAGCAGAAGCAGCAGCTGGCCAGTTAGCTCATTCATTTAGAGCACAGTGTTATAATAACAAGGTCTAAGGGTTCAAATTTCCAAACTAGCCAGCCGCCCCCCCCCCAAAAAAAAACAGCAAAAATGACAGGACAGGTAGGTCAAGAGCAAGGTCACGGCAACAGTTTTTTGGGATGCATAGGCATTTTGCTTGTTGACTTTCCAGAGGGCCAAAGAACAATAACATCTGCTTATTATGAGAGTGTTTTGAGAAAGTTAGCCAAAGCTTTAGCAGAAAAATGCCCAGGAAAGCTTCACCAGCGTTCTTTTCCACCATGACAATGGTCCTGCTCATTCTTCTCATCAAACAAGGGCAATTTTATGAGTTTTAGTGGAAAATCATTAGGTACCTACCTTGCAGTCCTGATTTGGCTCCTTTTGATTTTTTTGCTAATCTTAAAAAATCTTTAAAGAGAACCCATTTTTCTTCAGTTAATAATGTAAAAAACAAAAGAGTGAATTGACGTGTTAAGTTCCCAGGATGCTCATTTCATAAAGGATGGACTAAATGGCTGCTATCATTGCTATAAAAGTTTCTTGAACTTGATGGAGCTTATGTTGAGAAATTAAGTTTATATTTTTCATTTTTATATTTTAATTTGATTTTTCCACAAACTTTTTGAAGTCCTCTAGTATGAGGCCCAAGTGGTGCTCCAGCAATTGTGGAGGTTTATGAAGAGTCAAGCCAGTACACCCGCATACCCCCATTCCTTCCTGCCTGCTCAGTGGTCATCACATCTGGATTTGTCTGGCCAGGTGCCCTGTAGCCACATCTCTCTGTGTCAGTAACTGTCCTCCCTGGAGAGGGAGTCTGTGTGTGACCTTGGATTCATAGCACCTAATCCTCACTGGCCCAGCACATTATCCTGTCCAAAGGAATTGGCTTGTTTGAGCTGGTAGGTGCTGGGAGCTATAGTGGGATAGCCTCTGGTGCAGCTTCTGACTGGCTTTGCCTTTAACATATACTCATTAAAATAACTCTGAAAGCAACATAAAAAGCAATGTCCTTTCCCATCTCCCAATCCCAAGGCCTTTACAGCTTGGGGCAGAGATAACCACATGTTATGGCAGAAAGGGTGACTTGACCTGGTCCTTGCTTCTTATCCTGTGCCCTGAATCTGTCCTAGCCCATCCTCTCCCTGCCCTGTAACATCTCCATCTCCTTCTCCTTCCTTTTTCCTTTAAGGCACACTCAGGTTCTCTGTCCTGAAAACAACCTCTTCTTGACATGAATACTTTCATTTGCAAGAGGAAGGCATCCTGGAAAGGACAAATAGCTTTGGGCTCAGAATTAAGAGACCTGCATTCAAATCCTACCTGTGCCACTTATTGGCTTACATGACCTTTGGCAAGTTATATAATCTCTCTGAGCCTCCCTTCTCTCCTGTTTGGGATGGACTGAATAGGATGGACCTATCCTATAGGAGGGTTGTGATGAGTCAGTGCGCCAAGCAAAGCCTTTGGTACCTAAGGTGCTGAGTGAATGAGAGCTCACCCAGCTTCTGTGACACCATCATCCTGGGCCCTTGCCCTGCCCCTCTCTTCACTGATCACCTGCCCCCAACCATGACACCCTCTGAGCTCTGGCTTCCTTCTCTTCTGCTCAGGACCTTGTCTATTCCAGCCCAGTGGCAACAGCCCGCAAGGTACTGATTGTCCTGAGGACCTTCCTGAGGAGGAATGAGGATGTCCAAGTGGGTGGTCTCATCCGTGGCCACTTCCTGCTGATCCTGCAGCATCTTCTGGTGGAGCATGGGTCCTCCCCCTCAGGAGGTCAGTCTGCAGGTGCTGTGTGCATATTTTAACCTTAAGGCCAGTCAAGAGTGGGCATCTCTGCCCTGGTGAGGTCTGCTCCAGGAGAGAGAGTAAAGGTTTTCTCTGCAAAAGAAAAGTCAGGCCAGTGTAGCAATAAGCTAAACCTTACCTCCTTCCTCTCACTGGACATTGGGCACACAACATGCTTGGTTTGATGTGTGTGTGTGTGTGTTTGTGTGTGTGTGTGATGAGTGTGTTTAATAGGAGTGGTTGTGTTTGATGCATGCATACATGTCTCCACCCTGCACAGCATGTGCTCAGGGCTGTTTGTCATAAGAATGGCAGCCCCCAGTGGGAGGAAGAAAGTGGGAAATCTGGAGAAGGCTAGGGAGGCAGCAGCAGCCAGCAGGGTCCAGGGAGGCGGGTGGCTCTGTGATGTGTTGGAAGCTCCCAATGAGATCTAATAGAATAGTTTCCAAATCTGGAATGGGACTCCCTGTAGTCAAGGAAGTTTGGTGTTTGGTACAGTATGAAGAGACCGAAAATTTGGTTTGGTTATTCTTTTCCTATTTTCAAAGAGGCAGAATTTCTAAATAAAATTTCTAAGCAATCAAGAGAAAGTGGGAGGGGATCTGTGGCTCACTTTGTCCAGTCCTGACTGAGGATGGGGGGGTTTGGAGGTAGATTTAAAGGTGTCTAATGGAGCAAAGGCCTTCCTTTCAGGGAAGGACAAAACGTATTAAGGTACTTCAAAAAGTTCATGGGAAGATTTGTATTATCTTTTAATTCTATTTTTCCACTAACATTTAAAAATTTTTAAACATTTTTTTAATACATTTTTTAAGCCAGTCAAATTTAGCGGTGGGGGATTTTATACCAACTTAAGTGACATTAATGTTAGTAAGTTTTGATAATCTACTACCATCGGACCAGCCTCCATGAACTTTTTGCTTTATTTTTGGTGGCTGGCTGGTAAGGGGATCCAAATACTTGATATTGGTATTACAAACCACAAACTTTTGAAGTATTTTCATATTTAACTGATAATACTGTTTATGAACCATAAGATCTTGTGGAAACACATAGTGAAAAGGCCACAGGCATTGGATTCAGATTTAGGTTCAAGTCTTGGCTGTGTATCTTTGTCTGTTTAGGCTGTTATAAACAGAACATCATAGACTGGGTAGCTTATAAACAACATAAACTTATTTCTCATAGTTCTTGGGACTGGGAAATCCAAAATCAAGGTGCTATCAGATTTGGTGTCTGGTAAAAGCTGCTTCCTGGTTCATTGACAGCTGGCTTCTTGCTGTGTCCTCACATGGCAAAAGCGTTGAATGAGGGCACTAATCCCATTCATGGGGGCTCTGCCTTCATGACCCAATCACCTACTAAAGGCCTCACTTCCAAATACCATCACATTGAGGGTTAGAATTTCAACATATGAATTTTGGGGAAACACAAACATTCAGACCATAGTGCCCTGCCACTTACTGGCAGTGGGACCTTGGAGATGTCATTCAGCCTCTCGGAGCCTCAATTTCTTAAATGCAAAATAGAAATAACAATTCCTGTGTCACATGGTTTTTAATGGATTAAGTGAAATAATGAATTCCTGGTACCAACCCAGAGTTGGCACTCATTATATCATTTACCCCTGTTCCCATTGAAGAAGGAAGAAGGCAGGAAGTAGGGGTGATTTCCAACAAACCACTTGTCCCCTTCGCAAGTAGAGAATTCAGGTGCCCCTTATTAAGGGTCATTTACAGCTGGGTGGGATGTGCGATCTTCAGCTGATCTAGGCCATCAGTCTCCTTGACCAGCCGTCCTTGCTCTTCACAGCCTCAGGGAACCTGCCACTGCTGCTGAGCCTCCTCTCCTTAGTGCAGCTGAGGAACAAGTCAGAGCCGGAACTGGACAGCATGGCCATGAAGCTCCTTCACCAAGGTGCCTTGGCCGCTTGGGACAGTGCCCAAGGGCCTGGGGCTGGGCATGCAATGGGTGCTAACTCAGTGGTGCTGGTGTTCTTTCTTCTATCCTTTCATCCCTTTGGAAGAAGCTAGTGGGCCAGTCTGTCCCTGGAGACTTCTTGCTAAGGAACCTCTTGGGGCTTTCTCTGCTTCTTCTCTGGGAGTGTTTGGGAGACCAAAAACAAAAACAGTGTGTGACAGGCACAAACTCTAGAGTCAGGAAGGCCTGGGTTTAAATCTCAGCCTAGTACTGACGGTGACTGTGATGCTGGGCAATTATCTAGCCTCTATGAGCCTTAGGTTCTTCGTAGGTGAAATAGTAGTGTTTCCCTGGTCTAGGGTTAAGCTAAGGAGTGCCTGATCTAGTAGTGGTAGAAGGCCTCTACCTCTACTATACATGGTGCTTGGCACACAGGAGGCTTCCAACAGACACTGTAGATTCGTGTTTTCTTGGCACAAGGTCAGCTCTCCACCTCATCCACAGTTGACTCAGATATAATGATCCACTTCACAGTTCTCTAGGCTTCTTTTCTTCCTTCACCCACACACTTGGTACATTTCCCTGCTTATGGATGTAGTCACCACATCATAGTCAGCACCCTCAGGAAGATTTGTTGAGGGAAGGTTGAAATGACTAGGAAAAATGATGTGTCTTTAGTGTCTGTGTACTCTCAGGTCCTCTGGCTACAGGTGAGGATGGTACTCTTTCCCTGCCTGGAACCCGGTCCTCCTCATGAGAAGATCAGTGTCAGGTGCAAAAGGGCCTCTGGGGATGGGTGGGCACTGAGGCTGCAGACTGCCTCAGCCTGGTGCTGGTCATCACCAGCCTGTGTGTCAGATCAAGGCTGGCACTAAGCTGGGAGGGAGATCTATATGTGACAAAATCAGCCTTCACAAGGGCATTTGATAGGGAGGAATAACAGGCTGAGACCTACACATTAAATTAATAGGGCCAGCCCGTGGCTCACTTGGGAGAGTGTGGTGCTGATAACACCAAGGCCACGGGTTCAGATCCCTATATAAGGATGGCCGGTTAGCTCACTTGGGAGAGCGTGGTGCTGACAACACCAAGTCAAGGGTTAAGATCCCCTTACCGGTCATATTTAAAAAAAAAAAAATAGACACTTACATATAATCCTTGAGTACTTCTGTTTGAGAGCACTGGGAGTAGAGGACTGTGGTTCAGGGGTGTAGGTACCTGCAGGGGGAGACCGGCTTTTCCTGTTGACCACAAGCCAATTAGAAGTCAAAGTGTGAATTGGCTTCCAAAAAGTGAACGGAGGTAGGTTTCATATTGGGATGCGGGTAGGGAGGGGCAATTCCTAGGAGGAAAGGGATATGTTCTATAGATATCTACTCTACAGTGTAATAACTGCTCTAATGAGGGCTGGGGGAGCACAGAAGGGGCATCTAATCTTGCATTGGGAGGTTAAGGAAGGCTTTATAGGGAGGTGAACTTTGAGCTGAGTCTTGATTGCTGACTAGGAGTTGAGGAGTTAGCCAGATGGAGGTGATGTGAGAGAGAGGATATGACAAGTGCAGGGAACTACACATCCATTGTTATAGGGTTCCCTTGGGAAGGTGGTGAGTGCCCCATTGCTGGAAGAATTTGGAGGTTGAATTGTCTCAGAGAGTAGTAAGGACTCCTAAAAATGGTGGCAGATTGGTCTAGATGACCTTGCAGAGCCTGGCAGCCTGGGGTCTGTGATGGCACAAGCATGGTTATGGGAAGACTTTGTCCCCGCAACTCCTACAATCTATTCTGGCTATTGTGCAGCTGTGGGCTGCTTACCTGGTGTTTGTCCAGATGGAGAGAATGATCATGCCTCAGGTTTGTCACTGTATTTCTGTCCTTTGGCTGTAACATCAGGGACACTTAGTTTGTGCTTGTTCTCTGAAACTGACATCTGAAATGAACCATGATCTGTAAGGAGAGTGAGTGCTGGTGTGTGTTAAAGCCACAGAGTGCTCCACACCGTAGGCTGCCTGGCAACTCTGGTCTCTTGCAGTGAGTAAGCTGTGTGGGAAGTGCAGCCCCTCTGACGTGGACATCCTGCAGCCCTCCTTCAACTTCCTGTATTGGAGCCTTCATCAGACCACGCCTGGTAGTCAGAAAAGAGGTGCAGGGGCCTAGGCTGGGACAGTAAGGGGGAAGAGTGCTGGGCAGTGTCTGTGGTCCTTTCTACCCTCAGTTTTTCCATCTTAAAAAAAATAAATAGGTATATGTGTGTGTGTGGCTGGTGGTCACATGGTCCTTTCTGATTCTGATAACCTATAATTCTGCAATGAAGCTGGGACCCTTAGAGCCTGAAGCTGATCCTCTTCTTTGCTTTTTTGTGTGTGAAGCCCCCACTGGGTATTAAGCATCATGATGGCTCCTGTGTAACTCATGTGGCCCCTGCCTTGTCCCACTCCCTACAGCTGCTGCAGTGCTCCTGAGCAGCACAACCCTGATAGAGCTTCTGGAGAAGATCCTGGCGCTCACCTGGGCAGAGGCAGGCTCTCCCAGGACCGCTCTCCTCTGCTCTGCCTGGCTGCTCACTGCCTCCTTCTCTGCCCAGCAGCATGATGGCAGTTTGCAGGTTAGTCTCTTAACTCCTGTGGCTTTGGGGTGTAGGGTGGCACTCAAGGAGTGATAAAGACCCTAAGTTCTGGTCCCAGCTCTGTGGCTTATTAGCTGTGTGACCTTGGCAATGTATTTAACCCACTCTGAGCTTCAGTTTCCTTACCTACAAAATGGAGAGAAACCATCCCAGGGTTGTTGTCAGGGTGATTCGAATTAATCCATTTAGCGCACATGGATTAACTACATGCCAGGCTCTATTCTTGGCACAGAGGAATTAAAAAAAATAATATAGCATGTGCCGTACCCTTAGAGAACTTGTAGTCTTTAAGCAAAGCCTTGACAGATCGGTAAGACTGTACTTAGCAAGGATAGCAGGGAAAGGCATTCCCAGTAGAAAGGACAATTGGAGCAAAGGCATGAAGCTGCATAAATTTAGGACACAGTGTCCATATTTGGAGAATGGTGAGATATCCTTAGAGAACTTGTAGTCTTTAAGCAAAGCCTTGACAGATCGGTAAGACTGTACTTAGCAAGGATAGCAGGGAAAGGCATTCCCAGTAGAGAGGACAATAGGAGCAAAGGCATGAAGCTGCATAAATTTAGGACACAGTGTCCATATTTGGAGAATGGTGAGGTGCTCTGTATGGCTAGAATGTGGGGAGTGAATGGAGCAGGTCAGACTGGACAGGGAGGCAGAAGCCAGCCTGTGACCTTGAAGTTTTGGATGGCAAGTTGTGAAGTGCCACACATGGTAAACTGTCATTGTTACCGTTGGAGGAGGTGATGCAGGGGATGGAAGAGCAGTGGACATATCCACAGTGCACCACCTTTCCTCTCAGCTCTGCCCATCTTGTCATCACAGTGCCCTTCTCCTGTGAGCTCCTCTGGGGGCTGCTTCACATTCAGTTGTCTCCTCGCCAAGGCTGGCTGCTCCTTCTGGACAGAAACCGTCTGCTAATCTCCATGGTATCCTTGCACTGTGCCCAGCACTGTGCCAATCTAGTGATGGGCACACAGCTCCTTTGTGTAGAGTGAAGTCAATTTTAAACTTTGGCCTGTAGGGTGGAACAAGTTGGGACAGATCTGTGCTATGGCAGATCTTGCAGGTTGTTGCCAGGTGGTTGATTTGGGACAGGAACCTTCCCTGTTGTTCTGCTTGAGGCTGCTGGGTCCATCCATACTTCTGTAGTCACCTGCCTGGGTGGAAGACTGCACCTTGTCCTTGGCTCTGCCCTGGCCTCAGCTCATACCTAGCCAATTACCTTTCCCTACCTACCTCCACTGCCCTAACTCAGGCCTGATCATCCATCCTCACCACTATTGAGGCCTATTTACCTCTTCCCTCCTTCTGGCCTCCAGCCTCTTCCCTCCTCTGCATGTCCTATTGCTGCAGCCACAGTCTGTCTTGACTTCTCCTCTGCCCATACTCCTTTGGCAGCATTTTGTCCTCCTCTCGGGCTGTCCCTCTGCAGCCTTACGTTCTGCCATTCCCACCCTCCTTCCCTGTCCTCTGTCCAAATGTTTGCTCTTCTCCCAGTCAGCTGTGCTCTTTCACATCTCCATACCTTTGTTTGTTTGTTTTTATTATTAGTAGACTTTATGACAGTTTTAGATTTATAGAACATTTGAGCAGGTAGTACAAGAGAGCTCCATTCCCTCCTGCCCCCGACAATTAACTTTGTCCCTACAGCTTACATTAATTAGCATGGTATCTCCATACATTTTTATAAGTAGATTCCTCTGCCTAGAGCCAGCTGCCTTCAGCAACCAACAGGGATTGTTAAGGAACTGCTTTGTGCTGGACTGCAACAGAGGCAAGCAGAGTAGAAGTAGTCGCTGCTCTCAGGCAGCTGTGTTCTGGCTGAAGTGAACAGAACAGACTCATGGCTTTGAACCTGCCACCCCAACTAGCCCCTCAATTTGGACATTGCTTGACATTAAGGTGTGTGTTAACCAATGCTCAACTCTTTCTCATAAGAGCTCTGGAAGGAGCAAAAGCAGGTGGCATTTTCTCCGTTTCATAAATAAAGAAAACGAGGAAGGCTGAGAGAGGTACAGTGACTTGCCCAAGGCCACACAACTGGCAAGTTGCAGAACCAGGATTTTGATTCAGCCAGTGTGACTCCAGATCTTCTCAATTAGGTGGATGGTAGGCAGAACCAGAGACTGAACCACAGATCAGGCCAGGGAAGGCTCCCTGGTGAAAGGAAGCCACTGAGGGTGGGGGAGATTTGGGAGAAGAGTTCTCCAGGTACAGGCATGGTTGTCCTCCTCACACTCTTAAAGCCAGGACTGGTAAAGCTCAGAGGACTCTATATGGCCTCCTTTGTCCCCTCTTGATGCAGCGGGTATATAGTGGGGGATGGGGGGTGGCAGAAGAGATATTGGGGCAAGTTTTTTTCTGCCCAAGCTGCCAGAACGTCGGGGTTAGCCCTTTACTCCCTGCACTGCCAGGTTCACCAGACGCTGTCCGTGGAACTGGATGAAGTATTGAAGGCCCTCAGCTTTCCAAATAGAAAGGCTGCCCTGCTCTCAGGTATGGGCTCCAGAGTCTCCAGCAGGGAAAGAAAAGTTTTCCCCTAGATTCTGAGATAGGACCACCCACCCAGACTAGCCCATGGTCACTCCATATTCTCTCAACTTCACTGTCTCGCCTCCTGTGACAGAGCTGGGTAGGAGGTGGGGAAGGAGGCAGGAACTGGGTGTAAGGAGTCTCCTGGTTTCAGCTGCCATCCTGCGCTTCCTGCGGACAGCCCTTCAACAAAGGTTTTCCTCTGCCCTGGTGGCCCTGGTGCCCTCAGGGTCCCAGCCACCACTAGCCTCCGAGGACACTGTCTTAGCTCCACTGGGAACATCACAAGTGCTGTCGCTGGTCATTGGGCTGCAGAACCTCCTGGTGCAGGTAAGGCCCTTGCTGAGTGGGCCCCTGGCAGTGGGGTCTGTTTCTCCCAGGACAACAGCGGGAAGGGGTGCTGCCTGTCAAGAGCCTGATATTCCCACCAGGGTGCCTGGAGGGAATTTTAAAGCTATGGGGACAGAAACAGAACTCAAATTGGTTTATAACTAAGAAGTCTAGTCAGTACTGGCTTCAGGCACAGCTGGATCCCAGAGGCTCAGAACTCTGTTTCCAGCTCTTGGCTCACATTCCTCACTGTCAGCTTCATTCTTGTGGGATGGTAGGATGACCAACAGCCGTTCCTCGCTTATATCCTCTCAGCAGAAAGAACGTTTCTCTTTCGCAGTAGTTCCAGGAATTGAGTCTCATTAGCCTGGCTCGAGTAATATGCCAATCACCATGGCCCAGGCATGAGATGCCCTGATTGACCTGGCCTGGGTCAATGCCCTTTCCTGGAGGCTAGGGCATATGGTCAGGTCAGCTCCCCATAACCCACGTGGACTGAACCCAAGAGAGGGATGGTTCCCCAAAGGAAAATTGTTACTAGAAGAATAAGGAATAGATCCAGGGCAAGCAAAGACAGACATTTAGCCCAGAGGGGTTTGTGTTTCACAGCTTAGAGGACTCTGGAGATCATTGTTTATCCAGCCATCACAAACTGTCACACATCAACTCAATGTCAGGGTGAAGGGTGTTGAGGGCCCCAAAAGAATGCCCCAAGAGTAGGCCCTATGTTAGGTCACTGGTTTCAGAATCTTATCCTGTGGCAAATCTCTGCACAAGGTTCTGTGCTCTTTAGGGATCAAACATCTATCATATCATGGAACTTAGCTCTCTATGTTTTAAGTTTCCTTTTTTTTTGGCGTTGGGCTGGTATAGGGATCAAACAACCCTGGACCTTGGTGTTATCAGTAAATTTCCATTTCCATATCTTCCCTACCATGCTGTGAGATCCTCAAGGGCAGGGACTAAGTCTGGTTAATTTTCGTGTCTCCTTTTCCTTATGGGTTCAAAACCAGTTAAGAATTTAACAGTTAGGGGCCGGCCCGGTGGCGCACTGCTACAGTGCGCCGCTTGGGAGCAAGGCGGCGCTCCCGCCGAGGGTTCGGATCCCACATACAGACCAGTTCCCGCTCACTGGCTGAGCGAGGTGCAGACGCGACACCGAGGGTTGCGATCCCGTTGCTGATCCCGGTCCGGTATGGGCGCGACACTGAGGGTTGCGATCCGTTGCTGGACACGAAAAAAGACAAAAAGGAAAAAAAAAAAAAGAATTTAACAGTTAGATGAGAACCAAAATATCAGCTTTATTCCTGATAAACACCATAGTAGAATATAGCTGGGACTTAGGCTCAGAATGGGCTTTTTTTGTCCGGAATTTTTCAAGTATACAGCAAAGATGAAAGAATTTTACATGAACACTCATACACTTACCACCTAGATTCTACCATTAACATTTTACTATACTTGCTTTATCATCTATCCAAAATGAGGGGTTTTTTTGTTTGTTTTTTTTGTCCTTTTTGAGACCGGCCGCACCGTGCTCAGCCAGTGAGCGCTGTGAGCGCACCGGTCATCCCTATATAGGATCCGAACCCGCGGTGGGAGCGCTGCTGCACTCCCAGCGCCGCACTCTCCGGAGTGCGCCATGGGCTCGGCCCCCAAAATGAGGTTTTAACCTCCCTCCTTCCCCCAGGCAGACCACGGGGCACACAGGTAGAAATATTGTTTGTGTTATGGATACTTAGCCAGCTTGCCAAGATCTTAAGAGTTCGAATTCATGGGAACATGACCTTTAATACCTTAATCCTGCCCTGATGGCACAGTAGATATTAAACTAGTGTCTTGCCTGTTAGATAAATCCATCCTTGGGTGATGAGGGTCAGTGAGAGAAATGCTGTATCTCTAATGTTTCTGTCTAAAAGGGCTAAAGTTCCTGTTTTAACATTTAGAACATGGAGGGTGGAGGGAATGATTTCCTTTTACCCAATATCTGGTGTAGAGCTTGGCACAAAATTGGCATTCAGTAATGTTTGTTGAATTAATTGATGGGGACAGAGAAATTAATATGACATGATTCCAGTCATTTAGGTGCTAATACATTGTAGGAAACACAAATAATTACATACAACTAATGCCAAAATAACCTATTATTTGAATCAAGGAAGACTTACAGGAGAGGCCACTTTTGAAATAGGCCTTGAGTGATGAGAAAGCTTTCTTCAGACCAGTAGCCTAAACACTAGGGTTGGGGGCAGTGAGTTATTGTAGCACCATCACCATTCACTCCCCCATCCAAGAGCTTTGGTGTCTCCAGGCCTGTGACACCTCTGCGTCTGGTAGTTTTTAATTGTGGTAAAATATACAGAACATAATTTACTATTTTAACCATTTTTAAGTTCACAGTTCAGTGGCATTAAGTCCATTCACACTGTTGTGCAACCATCACCACCATCCATCTCCAGAACTTTTTCATCTTCCCAGACTGAAACTCTGTACCCATTAAACAACTTCTTGTTCCTCCCTCCTACAAGCCCCTGGCAACCACCATTCTACTTTCTATCTCTACGAATTTGACTGCTTTAGGAACCTCTTATAAGTAGAATCAGACACTATTTGCCCCCTGGCGGTTTTTGACTATCTGTTCTCAACAGTTCCTGGGAAGTGGAACCCAACTGGAATAGCTCATGAATCCCCCACGTAGGAGCTACTGGGACTACACTGGTTATAGGAGAGTGTTGGTGAGGACCCTCAGTCACTGTCCCTATAACTGCATGATGAACAGGACCAAGTAGCCTTTTCCTCCTTTCTTTCACCACCACACTCCCTAGAACTTCCCTGGTCTTCTACCTTCAGCCACAATGTCCCCTCTGTCAGTGCCCAGGACACGAGGAAGTATATGGAAGAATTATTCTCTTTCTCTATCCTTTCCTCAGGGCTGGAACTAAGCCTCTTTCTTACCCTTACACAGGTTCGTTGTTTAAAAATAGCCTTTTGGGGGCCGGCCCGTGGCTCACTCGGGAGAGTGTGGTGCTGATAACACCAAGGCCCTGGGTTCGGATCCCACATAGGGATGGCCGGTTCGCTCACTGGCTGAGCGTGGTGCTGACAACACCAAGTCAAGGGTTAAGATCCCCTTACCGGTCATCTTTTAAAAAAAAAAAAAAAAAATAGCCTTTTGGGCTGGCCAGTTAGCTAACTTGGTTAGAGTGTGGTGCTAATAACACCAAGGTCAAGGGTTCGGATCCCCTTACTGGCCAGCTGCCAAGAAAAATAAATAAATAAAATAAAAATAGCTTTTTGTTTATCCATTCATTTGTTCAATTATTCATACATTCAGCAAATATTTATCCCACAGTAATCCAAAAATAGAGGAAATCTCTCTCCCCTGAGCTCCCAGAATGGCTTATTTAGTCCTGTATTGAGGAACACATTTATCATATTTGTAATTTGGTCAGTAGTTTGCATTTCTGTCTTATTTCATAAAACTGTAAACTTCTTTTAGGCAAAAACTCCCCCTGCCTGGAGAGTCAGAGGAGGGTTCACAAAGAAGGTGGCATTTGAACTCAGCCATGAAGGTTGTCTAGGCAGAGCAGAAGGAAGGGTATTCTAGCAGGGAGGACAGTATGAGCAAAATCACGTAGTATGAAAGTGCACAGTGGGTGTAGTAGTTTGAATTATGTCCCCCCAAAACTCATCGAAGCTTGAATTGTGTCCCCCAAGTTTTACATATTAGAAACTTAGCTCCCACTGTGACTGTTAAGAGGGTGGGAAATCCTATCATGGTAATTGAAAGGTGGAGCCTTGAAGAGGTGATTGGATTGTAGGACCATGCAGTAGTGAATGGATTAAAAATGGTGGTCAAGGGCGTGGTTCTGAGGGCTTTAAAAGAAGAGGAGAGTCTGTCTGTCTCTGCTTCCACCATCTTGCAATGTGAGACCCCTGGGCCACCGTTGCCACCACCAGATGGACTTTGGACTTCCCAGCCTCAGAAACTGTAAGCAATAAATTTTGCTTTTTCTTTATAAATTACCCAGTTCAACGTATTCTGTTACAGCAACACAAAACGGACTAATACAGTGGGGCATGGGGACACAGTGAGAATTAGACAATGAGACTGAAAAGCTAGGCAGGGGCTAAACTGGGCAATGCCTTGTGTGCCAGGTTAAGAAGTGCTGTGGGGAGCCATGGAAGCACTTCTATCAGACTGTGTTTTTGAAAATTCCCTCTGGACCACAGTAGGAAAGAAGAGTGGAAGGAGAAAGACTGGAGGCAAGGTAACTGGTGAGCAAGAAGTGTTGCAATGACACAAATGAATGACAGTGTGGCACGCTTCACACAATGAGGTTGCTAAAAATAAAAAGACAGATAATACCAAGTGTTGACAAGGAGGTAGAGAATGTTCACACAAAAATTTATATATGAATGTTCATGGCAGCATTCTTTATAATAGCCAAAAAGTGGAAACAATCTCAATGTCCATTGACGGAAGAAGGGACAAACAAATTGTATATCCATCTAAAGGAATACTATTCAGCCATAAAAAGGAATGAAGTACTGACACATGCTACAACATGAATGAACCTTGAAAACATTATGCTAAGTGAAAGAAGCCAGACATAGAAGGCCACATATTATAAGATTCAATTTATATGAAGTGCCTAGAATAGGCAAATCCATACAGATAGAAAGTAGCTTAGTGGATGCCTAGGACTGAGGGGAGGGATGAGGGAATGAAGAGTGACTGCTAATGAGTATGGGGTTTCTTTTTAGGGTGATGAAAATATTTTGGAATTATATAGCTGTGCAACTCTGTGAATATAATAAAAACTACTGAATTGTACCTTTAAAAGAATGAATATTATGTTTTGTAAATTTTATCTCAATAAAGCTGTTACTTTAAAAAAGTGGCATCAAGGGAGAAAATTGACAATGAGGCCTAAGCTAGCGCTCTTGGCTGGTCTTCCCTGAGATCTCTGGGCCAAAGCAGCCAGGTGGCATTGGCACCACTGGTTGAGGGGTGGGCAGAATGTGCAGAATCTTCAGCGGTCTGGGGTGTGCCAGCACAATGCAGTGGAAGGGGCACTGGCTGGGGAGTCACACAGTTCTGCATCATGGCTCCCGCCCAGCCTCTCATTGTGAAGGAGCTCAGCAATGTCACCTCTCTCAGGGTGACAGAGATGCAAAGGATTACTCAAAGCCCATTTTTCAAGAACAGTGAGAGGCCCAGAAGGAGCAATTTCTTCAAGCAAGAAGAATTCCTAGGAGTAACCCCAAATCAGGTTTTCTCTTGGTTTTTATTGTCCAGGCAAGAAAGTTACAGAAAGGAACAGAGGTGGTTACAAAAAGAACAATGAAATATTCATCATGGCAACACTCAGTTCCCCAAGAAACTTAAAGAAGCAGCTGAAGGCAAGATGTGGAACATCCCCCAATCATCAGCCTTGAAGCTTGTAGCTCACATACTTTCCCATCATTAGGTTTAGCTGCACCAAGGATGACTACCCTTAGAGCAAGCATTTTTGCTTTGTTAACAATTTTTTTTTATATACAACAGAGACTTTAGTCCTGGGAAAGTGTTCTGTTTTTCCCAAGCTTAGCATTTCTATGTGCAATTCTAAAAAGTTAGGCAATTTCTTAAAGGGCTTTGGCCTTGCTAAAACTACAGGGCTGTGGTCCCACTAAGCTATAAGTTAGGTCCTGTAAAATACATTTGCTTTATTAATGTTGGTATCCTCCACACAGTAAGTCACTTCTTACTAATCATCATTTTTTCTACCTGCAAAATAAAAGGGGTCTTTCAACATTAAGTGATATGGGCCTATAAGAACATCCTCCATTCCCTCAGCAATGGAGCACAGCGCAGAGAAGTGTTAGTTGAAATGAGCAGGCAGTGGGTGCCTAGGGTCCACTATGCCAGGTCACATGGGAGAAGGGCAGGTCAGTGGCAGCAGAGGGCTCTGAGGAAGGGCTGTGGGCACTGGAGTGATATAGGTGGTATGGGGGTGAGGAGGAGCCAGGGGCCAGCTTCCTATCTGCTTAGTTCTCAGAGGAGCCACAGGACTATAAATCTCTGAACATCTTCAAAGTAGAAAAGAAGTTTATTCTGTGTTCTTCTGTAGATAGAGACCTAGGTCAATAGGTGGAGCTGCAAGAAGACTGGAGGGGCCCTTTCTCATGGTCTGGACTGTCTAACGGTAGAATGGGCTGCTTTGGGAGGAAGGGAGAGGAGTGTCTTAAGGTTGGGGGTTTCCAAACAGAAACCAGGTATCTGCCAGCAAGAACTCCTGCTGGAGCGTGGGAAGGGTGTTGGTTTGGATGACCCTTAAGGTTTATTCCAACACTGGGATTTTGTTTTGGGGAAGGGAATGCTCATGAGACAGAGGCCTAGGAGTACCTTGTAGGGTGATAGGCCTAGTCATGGAAGAGGAGGAAAACAGAAGAAGAATTCAAAATAGCAATGGCAGCAAACAGAGAGTTAGCACTTTTCAGCTTTTCAAGCCCTCTCATAAGTATGATTTCATGTGATTCTCACACAAGTCAGCTCTATGAGATGGAAAGCTGCAGTTTAGAGAGGCAGTGTGACTGCCACAGGGTCACAGAGCCAGTGAGGTGACCTGGAATTAGAAGTAAAGGATTTGCTGGAAAGAGGTAGAGGAAAAGCAGAGCAAATAAAGTTTTCAAATCATTTCCCAGAAGTTCATCTCCAGGGCAGAGCTGGGCAGTGGTTCATTCTGATGGGCACAAATGGCCCTGGGGATATAATGAAAATATAATTGTACTGACTAGAACTCCAGGAATCATGTGTGCTTAGAAGGAAATGCTTGATAAACTATTTGGGGCAAAATCCCTGACTGGGATTAGAGGGCCAGTGAGGAATGCTCCTGTCCTGTATCCTATCACCTCCCAGTTTGAGACTGTTTGGATAGTAGACACAGGAATCAGACAAAGATTGGTAAGGCTGATGGGGTAAGGCTTTTACATATGGCTACAGTGGCCTTCCAACAACTTCGCCCCAGAGTGAAAGGTATCGATCCAGTCACTGGCAGAGCTGGACAACCCCAGGACTCCTTGCCCTACCTTCTGCCCCCACCGAGGGCAGGGCCTGTCCTGGTGAGCATACCCTTTGGTAAAGAGTAGACCAAAACAAACCCTCTCTACAGGCAGGTGGGTTTGAATGAGTCTGCTGCAAAGGCTGAGCTGAGTGTTTCTTCTCACAACATCATTGTCATCGACTGAACTAGTCATTCCTTCCATGGGGAGGAGTTGGTAGGGAGAGGTGGATGTTACTCTGAAGAGGTCCGTTTGTGGAAATGTGAGGCCAGGGTGATGCTCTGGAGTGACAGCATGTAGCCCCTGCCTCTGGAGGAAGGTGGGATTGCAGGGTTCAGGACTGGCTGAGTGGAGAGTGCTGAGCAAGGAGAGGTAGGTACTTCCACCAACGGCTTCCCTCTGCCCCAGTGCTCAGCCACACCTTTAAGTATGCACTAAACAGGTGATGACAGTGTTAGTTTGAAGGGGTAGAGTGGATTCGGCTGCTCAGAGCAGCCATATGCCTTCGTCTGGCCCTGCACCTGGAGGTTTGGAATGAGGCTCTCTGGGCTGGTTGATTATGCTTTCCATAATTTGCTCACCAGGGTCAGATGGTCTTGATGCACTTTGAGGCTTACTTCTCTGATTCAAGTCCAGCTGCTACATCCCTGGGGAGCCTTGGCGGAAGGTAAAGGGTGGGCCTGAGCAGGTAAGAGACAGATATCCTTCCTGCTCAGACTTGGCTTTCTGATTGGGGTGGGAGTGGAATGTGTTATCATACTGAAAATCAGGGAGCTAATTAGTTTTACAGATTTGAGGCTTTAATCTCAAGGATCATTCATTCCTGCAAAAGCAAATGATGTCAGGTTAAGGTTCTATGAGAGGAGGAGGTGGGGACAAAGGGGAGAGAGAACAACATGTACTGAGTGCCTACTCTGTGCCAGGCACTTGACATGTTATTTATTCATTACGACTCCTCTACGAGGTGGAAATTACCATCTCAATTTTATAGACAAGGAAACTGAGTCCCAGAGATGTTAAGTAATAAGACTAAGGTCACACACTTTTAGGTCAGGATTCAAACCTAAGTATTTTTGGCTACAAAATCCGTATTCTTTCAGTGTCCCAAGGAGTGCATCTTGTGAACAGGAGCCACTGTTACCTGATTAGTAGTCTCCAGCTTTCCTAACATCCAGCAGCCCTGGCTCCTCACATACCATCCAGGGGACACTTGCTGATTGTATGGGTTAATGTAGACACAGGGTCAGAGAGCAGCCACAGAGCCACAGCTTCTCACCAAGTGGAAAAGCCATGGCATGCTGGCCCGTGGCTGTGTGGTCTTGGGTACCTGGGAAGAAGCTAGAAGTGCCCACTGGTTAAGAATTCGTTTTAGATTAGAGAAGGTAAAAGGGGCGCTGGACCAGAAATTGGGAGACCTCAGGTTTAGGTCTAGACCTGCCACGGATGTCCTCAGATCAAGTATTTTCTCTCTGGGCCTGTTTTCTCAGCTGTAAAATGAGGTGGATGGATTAGCTCAACCATTTCAAACCATATGCCTTGGAGGCCCTAGGGGTTCTGTGGAGGAGACTCAGGGGTTGCTAAAGAGGGAGAGTGTTTCTCATTTCATACATTTCACTAATATAGTCACCATTTATTGAGTGTTTACTTTGTGCCAAGCACTGTTAAACACTCTATGTCCATTTTCTTATCTAACCTTCTCAGCAACTCAGGTAATCTTTTTATCCCCACTCAGTAAGGTTAAGTAAGTTGCCTGGGGTCACATAGATGGTAAGTGACCTAACCAAGGATTCAGACTTAAGTCTGGCCCATACCCTTAACCAACAGGCTACACTGCCTTCCAAAGAACAGCATGAAAAAAGCATAGGATTTTTGGGCCGGCCCGGTGGCGCACTGCGCTAGTGCACCTCTTGGGAAGCGCGGAGGCGCTCCCGCCGAGGGTTCGGATCCCACATACAGACCGGTCCCACATACAGACCGGTTCCCGCTCACTGGCTGAGCGAGGCGTGGGGGCAGCGCCGAGGGTTGCGATCCCGTTGCCGGGTCCCGTACGGGGGCGACACTGAGGGTTGTGATCCGTTGCTGGACACGGAAAAAAGAAAAAAAAAAAAAAAAAAAGCATAGGATTTTTGTTAGTTTGTTTTTACATCTTAAAAAATCAGTTTTAGGGCCGGCCTGTGGCTCACTTGGGAGAGTGTGGTGCTGATAACACCAAGGCCACGGGTTCGGATCCCTACATAGGGATGGCTGGTTAGCTCACTTGGGAGAGCGTGCTGCTGACAACACCAAGTCAAGGGTTCAGATCCCCTTACTGGTCATCTTTAAAAAAAAAAAAAATCAATTTTATTAATTATACTCAAAATTCGCCAGGGGCTTGCCATTTAGCTCAGTTGGTTAGAGCATGGTGCAAAGGTCCAGGGTTTGATGCCTGTACTGGCCAGCCACCAAAAAAAAAAAAAATCACCAATTTTAAGTATACAATTGGATAAGTTCTGACAAATATATACAGTTTTGTAAACGCCACCACAATCATGACTTCCATCACCCCAGAAGTTCCCAGGTGCCCCTTTGCTGTCAATCACTTTGTTCATCTCTGACCCTTGGTAAACACTGATCTGCTTTCTGTCACTGTAGTTTTACATTTTCTAGAATTTCATATAAATTAAATCATACAATATGTGGTCTTGTATCTAGCTTCTTTTACTTAGCTAAAGCTTTGAGATTCATTCATGATGTTTTGTGCATCACTGATCATTTCTATTTATTGCTGAACGGTATTCTATCATATGGCTGTGCAGCAGTTCGTTTATTCATTCGCCTATCAACAGACATTTGGGATTTCTACATTTTTGGCTATTATGAATAAAGTTGCTCTTATTACTTAAGTACAAATATTTGTGTTGATATATGTTTTCATTTCTCTTGAGTAAATACGTAGAAGTGGGATTGCTAGGTCAAAAGATGTATTAGTTTTCTATTGTTGTATAACAAGTTACCACAAACTTAGTATCTTAAAACAGTACCCATTTATTATCTCATAGATCTGTAGGTCAGAAGTCTGGTTGGGCTCAACCAGGTTTCTCCACTTAGGATGTCACAAGGCTGAAATCATAGGTTCAGCCAGGCTGGGTACTTAACCTGGGGAACAACTAACTTCTTCCCTAGAGGACTCTTTTAGCTTTTTAAGACTGTCCAAATTCTTTCTCACATGGCCCTTCCATCTTCAAATGGCCAATGGCACATTGAGTCCTTTTCACACTTCAAATCTCTTTGGTTCTTCTTCTGCCTTCAGCCAGAGAAAACTCTGCTTCCAAAGGGCTTGTGTGATTAGAGTGGGCCCACCCAGACAATCTCCCTTTTGCCATATAAGGTAACATAATCACAGGAGTAATATCTGGGAGCAAAGGTCATGGGTCATCTTAAAATTCTGCCTACCACATATGGTAAGTATATGTTTAACTTTATAAGAAACCATCAAATTGTTTTCCAAAGTGGCTGTACCATTTTCCTTCCCACCTGCAACATATGAGAATTCCAGTTGCTCTACATTCTCACCAGTGCTCGGTATTGTCAGTCTTTTTAATTTTAGCTATTGGTAGGTGTATAGTGATATCTCATGGTAGTTTTAATTTGCATTTCCCTAATGACTAATGATAATGAGATTTTTTCATGTGCTTGGTAGAGCATAAAATTTTGTTTAATGAAATGTTCTGCTGCTTTAAAAAAAAAAAGGGTTGAAACCCTGGTTTAGATAAACTATGAGCCTCTTCCAGGGTCTGTAATCTGTGAATCTCTTAGTGGGGATCCATCTCCTTTTCTGAAATAAAACACACTCTCATATGTAGGTAGATAAATCACCCAACATGAACATTGTGCTCTATATGTGGGAGAAATGAAGCCAAAAAACATTTCTTGATTATCTACAGGGCCACAATCCTACATCTGAAATTCTGGAATCCAAATAACTCTGAAAACCAAATGTTTTTTCTTGTTTGGCACCAAAACCCATTCGGAGCAAAATGTGACCTGAACTTTTTTTTTTGTTTTTTGCAGAAGGACCCTCTGTTGTCCCAGGCCTGTGTTGGCTGTCTGGAGGCCTTGCTTGACTACCTGCATGCCAGGAGCCCAGACATTGGTAGAAGCCCTCCCAATCATTGTCTGATGTTCCCATGGGGGAGATTAGAGGGAGCCAGCCCCTGCCACCCTCCTGCCACAGGCTTCCATTCTTTTTTTTTTTTTTTGTCTCTTTGTCTTTTTTCGTGACCGGCAACGGATCGCAACCCTCAGTGTCGCGCCCATACCGGACCGGGACCGGCAACGGGATCGCAACCCTCGGTGTTGCCCCCGCCCCTCGCTCAGCCAGTGAGCGGCCGGTCTGCATGTGGGATCTGAACCCTCGTCGGGAGTGCCGCCGCGCTTCCCAAGCGGTGCACTGTAGCAGTGCACCACCGGGCCGGCCCACACAGGCTTCCATTCTATTGTATGATTCATACTCATTTTAATTCTTTTAACAACCCTGCAAGGACACTGTCATGCCCATTTTACAGATGAGGGCACTGAGGTTCATAGAGCTTAAGTGATCTGCCTAACCAAGGTCACAAAGCTGTCATGTGGCAGAGCCCTTCCTGTTGCCTGTCTCCCACAATCACGGGATATATGAATATGGTCTCACTGAGCCAGTCCACACAGGTGGATAGAAGCCCAGGGAAGAAAAAAACCTCCTAGGGTCAGCTTGTCCAATACCCTTCCTTCAGCTTAGCAGCCAATAGGAGAATAACCTCTTTAGGCCTTTGGAAAAGTGGCATTAACAACCCAGAGTGACTGGGGTTTTCCTGCAGCATTCCACGTGGCCTCCCAACCCTGGAATCGGTTTTTGCTGTTTACTCTCTTGGATGTGGGAGAGAATTCCTTCCTCAAATCTGAGATCTTGAGGCTCATGACCCTGGTAAGTGCAGAAATGATGGTCTTGTGGTCTGAAGAATGTCATGAAATGGGTGGTGCTGAAGAGGCCAGGGACACCCTATTTTAGGTAATTCTAATCCTCAAAGAAGGTAGAGGGGCTGGTGTGCTTTACCCTACAGCAGACCTCAGAGAATTCCTCTGAATGTTCACATCTCCTCATCCCAGGAGACCCTGACTCCCTTTCTCTTATTTCTCTCATGAAATGACCAGGGCCTGCCTGCCTCAAGCCAGGTCTGCTAGGTACTGAGGAGGTAGATAAGCCAAGTGCTCCACCTTCAAGGCTTCCTCAGTCTAGAGAAGGAGGTAGATAAGTAAACTAATACTTTAAATATGATGTTATGAGTGGTAGAAGAGATGCTAAGTGCTTGGTACACAGTAAGAGCCCATTCAGTAAATAACAAAGCAGTGAGGGGCCGGCCCGGTGGCGCACTCGGTGGAGTGCGGCGCTTGGGAGTGCGGCAGCGCTCCCGCCGAGGGTTCGGATCCCATATAGAGACCGGTCCGCTCACTGGTTGAGCGCGGTACGGGCGCGACACCGAGGGTTGTGATCCCGTTACCGGTCATGAAAAAAGACAAAAAGGAAAAACAAAACAAAACAAACAAACAAACAAAAAACAAAGCAGTGAGTTTATGACTGATAGTGAAGTGGGTAACAAATTCAGTGGTTGGTGTGGGAACAGAGAGAAAAAGTAATTGCTTCTTAGCTGTGAAGGTAACATTTTAGCTGAGGCATGAAGGATCAATAGGCAGAGAGGAGGAAAGATATTCCAAGTAGTGAAGGGAGAATAGCAGGTACCAGAGCACATGGTGGTACCCTCCAACTCAGCTCCTTGAAGGCAGATTTCTCTGGGCTTCAGAACAGTGTCCCTAGCCCAGTACTGAGCACAGTAAGGGCATGGGAAATGTCTGTGAATGAAGGAGATACCAAAACATTGCATGTTTGGGGCTTTTCTCCCTGGGCTAGTTTGTGCGGTACCGGAGCAGCAGCATCCTCTCTCATGAAGATGTGGGTCATGTTATACAAGGGGCAGCTTTGGCTGACCTGTCTGCTCTCTCAAACACCACACTCCAGGCTCTGCGTGGCTTCTTCCTGCAGGTGGGTGAAAAGGGGATGCCATATAGCCACTATGAAGGTGGACCCTCAGACCTTCTCTTCTATGGAGGGTGGGAGCTCTGGCCAAAGCAGTCAATGGGAGGTTGGAAGTGCAGGGGTGGGGGGTGGTTAGAGAGGGCCTGTGTGGAGTGGGCGCTGAGAAGGCCGGCCTTCCTGCCCTCTTCTCCCTCAGGTCCAGAGCATGGGCCTCCTGGCTGATGACAGCACGGCCCACACCCTGCGGGCCTCCCTAGAGGGCCTCTCCCCTAGCGCCTCCTCGGCCAAGCCACCCCTGCAGGACATGGTGTATCCTTTCTTGAATGTGGGAACCTTGGCCTGGGCAAGGTCACCCGGGCCATGGGAGGCTGTGGCATCATGCCTCAGGACAGAGAGGTACACTGTCTACTGCCCTGTCTTCTAAAGCAAGTAGGGGTCAGTGAGGATAATGAACAGTGTTAGCAACTACAATGACTTGTTGTTTATTAAGTTCCTACAGAGGACCAAGCACATTAGACACATTGTGTTAAATCCTCACAGCAGCTAGAGCCTTTAAGGTGGTTGTAGTCCTGCCCTCTAGGGTTGTTGCAAGGACTTAATGAATTACTATGTGTAAAGCACTAAGAACAGTGCCTGACTTGGTGTGAGTGCTGTATTAGTGTTTGTTACTATTATTCCCGCTCCCTTTCCTAGATAAGGAAACTTAGGCCAGAGAGGTTAAATGACATGCCCAGAATCACACAACTAGTGTTAGCATCAGGATTTGACCTCAGATTTGCCTGTTTCCAAAGCCACATCAACAAACTCAGAAAGGAGCTAGTCCAAGAGTTTTGGAGAAAGTTGTCCATGCCCAGTTGGCAACAGGTTCTTCCCTCCTTAGACCAACAAGGGGATTGTTGAGGGGAGAGTGCTGGGTGACTGGCATGTCCTTGAGAAAGCCTGGGGCTGTGGCAGTGTTCAGAGGCCCTCTGGGGAGTTGTTGTGGCACTCCAGAGACACAGGGGTCCAGAGAGAGTGTGTGCGTGGAGGGCATGTTAGAGTGCTCCCCCCCCCCCCACCAGGTGCCTCCCTTCCATGGAACCATTCCCTGTTGGTATAGCAACTACCAAGCCCAGGTGTTCAGATCCCAATTTTATTTTATTTTATTTATTTATTTTTTATAAGATGACTGGTAAGAGGATCTTAACCTTTGGCTTGGTGGTGTCAGCACCATGCTCAGCCAGTGAGCTAACCGGCCATCCCTATATTGGATCCGAACCCATGGCCTTGGTGTTATCAGCACTGCACTCTCCTGAGTGAGCCATGGGCCGGCCCCTCAGATCCCAATTTTAGAATCCATCCCACTATTGTAGGAGCACCTTTGTTCTTTTCTGATAATTGTTGCCCTTCTTGGGTTCTGCAAGTGTGATTGATTTCTCCATGTTGGTCCCACCTCTCTACTGTTCTCCTCTCATGTTTTGCTGCCAGCTGCCTGGGAGGGGTGGCTGTATCCCTGTCCCACATCAGAGACTGACCCTCAGAAGGCCCAGGGACGGAGAGAACTGAGACCTGGAGATAAAGTCGGGGCATAATTTTTGGAGAAATGTATGATGATTAAAGCCATTCATCTGGAGCTATTTACTCCATGAAATGAAATCAGGAAATAAAATAATACACTCACATACCTTTGTGGGCTCTCCAAAAACATTTCAGTCAACTCATCTTGTCTTCCTCCAGCTGAGGATAGGGGATTGTTTCAGCAAGGGAGGGATGGCCTCTTCAGGGAGGGAGGGGGTGAGATTTGTTCTGGTGAGCACACATAAGGAACGTCAGCTGGGTACCTCTTTTGAACCCAGAGAACACCAGTCAGGCCACCCTCGGGGCTGAAACGGCAAAGAAAGTCCATGCCATTGGGGCTGCTGTGATCCAAGTGCTCTGAGAGGCACTTTACCTGCTGCCTAACCTCGTGTGGAGGTGGAGAAAGGTATAATTCCTAGGCAGGGAAGGTCAAATCCTTCCCAGCCTTCCTGAGCCAAAGTGTCCCAGCCTCAGCCCTTTCCTGGCTACAGTAGGTGCCCTCTGTCCCTTTCCCTCACAGCCTCCCCGAGAGCTTGTATTTATATGCCCACATGAGCAGTTCTTATTTACTGCCTGTGTCCGCTCCACTGTGCCCGCGCCCGTTCTGAGCCCAGCCCAGCCTCGTCCTCTAGCTCCCTTCCCGCCTGGCGAGGGCTCCGTACCTGTAACTGGCCATGCCACCCTTCTTCCTCGGGTCTCGTTGTCCTGACCCTGTGCAAAACAGGCTGAACTGCGTGCCAACGAACGGGCCAGGAAGCTCCGGACAAACTTGGTTTAGAAGTTGATGGACCAGAGGCGCGAGCTGCGGGTGCCCGTCGAAACGCGAGCTCTGCGAGGTCCTTAAAAAAAAAAAACAGTGCTAGTCACCACCCACTAAACTGATCTTGCGAACTGAGGTTTTTAACAACAAGGGCATAAAGTTCCAGGGAGGGCGCGTGAAAGGTGACCCGGCCGGCAGGGGTAGGGCCCCAGTGTGCGGACGCGCCCTTTAGGTCGGGCACAGACCCCAACTGGAGACTGAACTTCCAACCCGATCTTAACCGAGGGTCACGCGGGGCACCCGGCAGAGCCGCGGCGCGGGGTGTGCGGAGCGAGGATCCTACTGACAGCGCACGGGACGCTCGCCGGAGCCTGGAGGGGCGGGGCCGGAAGTGAGGTCAGCGGAGCGCGGCGGTCGCGGCCCGCGTTCATTGGTCGGGAGCGGGGCGGTGGGCGGGGCGGTGCCCGGCGGTCCGTAAGCTGCCGCTCGCTGGTGCTCCCGAGTTCGGTGCCTTTGCTGATTGCTCGACGGGGCTCCGGGCCAACCTGCACGCGAGGGCCCGCCGGCCCCTTCCCACACCGCCGGGCTTGGTAGGCGGTGGCGGGGTGCGAGGCGGCAGGCTCCCGGGGAGGGAGGGTGTGGGGAGGGGGTTTCGCAGACCCGGACACTTCTCCTTTCGAAGGGTCGGGGGCAACAACCCGGGCCCGCGACCCCAGGTGGCTGGCTCAGGGCCCGCCGCCGTCACGTCTCCTGTAGAATGGGTTCAGAGTCGCACGCCGAGCTGGGAAGGGCTCTGGGGACTCGCATGGCGGGAGTGGGATTGAGAGGCCGAAAAAGTGGGGGTAACAGTAGAGAAAGCAGGATCTCGCGCTCCTCCCCTCCCTCCCCCGCAGTCTACTTTTTCGAGTTTCCTTTTCCATTTCTCCCCCGCTTCAGTCATTGCCGGCTGTCTGTTACCCCCCATTCCCCCTCCCTCCCCGAGTTCTGCCCTAGCCTGGGTCTGATTCCCTTGAGTCTTGGGTGAATTTAGACAACTCGTACTATAGGCTTCAGTTGTCTCATCTGCGTGGGGGTGGGGGTTCTCCGGATGACCTCTGCAGCCTCTCACTGTCTGTAAGTGAGCCTCTCTCCCTTGGGGCAGTTGTCCTGGTAGATCAGTGCCCAGTTCTGATCTGAGGTGTCCTGTGCTTATTTATTTAGAAAGAGACAGGAGACAGAGCCCCTGGGCTTAGAGTCAAACAGATTCTTGCTTTAGCTTGAGAATAGCTGTGTGACTTTGGGTAGTCACTTCACTTTTCTGTGACTTAGTTTCTACATTGGTGAAGTTGGGCAGCTGTCATCTGAGTGGGAGGCCTCTCCTGACCACTTTATTTAATGTTGCACCTGACCAGCTCCCTCTCATCCTGTGTTTGTTTTACAAGTTTATTGATTGTCTTTTACCCCTACTAGGAACATAAGTACCATGAGTGCAGGGGTTTTTGTTTGTCTTACTTATTGTTGTATTCCCAGCTCTAGAACAGTGCCTAGAATGTGATAGGAACTCAATAAATAAAAGTGGAATGTGCCCGAATAGAAACATATATTGCACGTGGTGCCTGTGGTTCCAAAATGAGTAGCAGCTCTCTTTCCCCAAGACTATCCTGCCTCTCTTCCCACCCTTTGTCCCATCTTCCTTTCTGATAACAAAAGTCAGGAAAGAGGGTAACTCCAGAAGTTTCAAATCCTCTTTGACTGCTTGGGCCTTCTTGACCAGATATCTTCCTGGGAGGCCAGGATAAGGGATTGACAGGGAATGCTATTGACCAGTTCCCTCCTTTCCCAGGTGCAGTGCCTTCCAGACCTCCCTCCCTGCAACAGGGAGGAGAACTCCTTATCCCTCTTTTACAGGTGAGAATGCTGAAGCTCAGGCTGAGCAATTTGCCCAAGGTCCCCCAGTCAAGGGCAGGGACAGGGCTCCAGCCCAGAGCTCTAGACGCTGACCCTTCTGCTCTAAGCAACCCTGTGTTGCAAACATTTGTCTTCCTTCCTCCCTCCTACCATCCCATCGGTCTTTACTGTGTGCCTGCTGGCCACAGGCCCTGGGCTAGGGGCTCGAGCTTCAGGGCTTCTTGGTATTTGGAGGCTGTGCCATGTCAGGGGAAGTTGCTATTCACCTGTACTCTACATTTTATGTAACACCAACCTCTGGCTCTCACCCCATTTCTTTGGGTTACTGCTCTAGCTCCAGGGTCTTGGATATGGACTTTCTTCAGTTCCTGTCCTTCCTCTTTGTCTTGCTGCTCTCTGGGACAGGAGCCACAGGCACCCTGAGGACTTCTCTGGACCCGAGCCTGAAGATCTGTATCCTTTTGGTTTGGGGGTAGGGTTAATGAAATGTCTCTGAGGGGGTCTATACATGAGATCTCTCTATCCCAAAACCCCTTGGGGGATTCCAGGGATGGAACAGGCTACCACCAGAAATGGGAGAAAAGGTAAAATGCTTTAGACAGACCTTGAACAAGTCAATTCTTTTCTCAGCCTCAATTTCACCGTATATTAAATGGAGAAGGCAAGGCACATCTTTCAAAGCCATGAAGGCTCATTGAGGACTATACATATGCCTAGTACCTTGTGGTTGAGACCCTGGGCAGAGACTCAGGAACTCTGGATTACTGACCCATCTGGACCCTGGTGTATTGAGCCACCTCCCCTAGGTCAGGCCTGGGGAATACAAAGATGAGTCAGGACCAGTCCCACTTTGAGGCATCCTCAGGCCTAGGGGGAGAAAATATTCAAATAAATGATCATTGTACTCTATGATCAGTGCTCTGATGGATCCAGGATGGGTCAGGGAGAAACACTGTGTCTTGAGTTTTGAGCTGGGTCTTTAAAGACTAGAAACTAGGAGGTGAAGGTTCTGGAACAGTGGGTGGTTGTGAGAGATGGTGGGAAGACCACAGGGAAGGGAAAACAGGAGACAGGTCCTGGAAGGTTGAGTTCAGGCTATTGGGTGTGGAGTTCTCTCTAAACAGGACGAATGATACGTTGCAGGGCTGGTATACTTCTCAGAAGTTTGTTCCTTCCTTGGGGGGTCAGAGCCATGGGCATCCATAGCCATGCTGGTAAGGGATGGGCCCTCTGGGTCTGGACCACTGGATTGTCCAGGCAGGAATATTAGTGGCAGCCCCTTAACTTCATGTTGCCCAGACAGGAAGATGTTTGAGGTGAAGCGGCGGGAGCAGCTGTTGGCGCTGAAGAACCTGGCGCAGCTGAATGACATCCACCAGCAATACAAGATCCTTGATGTCATGCTCAAGGGGCTCTTTAAGGTGTGTGTGGGCAGGGGGCAGCTTATGACAGGCCCGCTCTTTGATCTGGGCACTGATGGATGAGTAGGAGTTCCCTAAGCGGATGGTGTTCAATGAGGGGAGAGCTGCATGCACAAGAGTTGAAGTGAGGTTTGAGTACATGGGGCTGGATCTGTGAAAGGCTCTGCAGTCACTCAGCCCAGGTGGGATTCCCTCAGGTGCTGGAGGATTCCCGGACAGTGCTTATTGCTGCCGACGTCCTCCCAGATGGGCCCTTCCCCCAGGATGAGAAGCTGAAGGATGGTATGGTCTTCCCAACCCCACCCTCTCCTCCCCACCACCCTATCTTCTCTAGCTGCTCATTTCTTCCTATTCTTGTCACTCTTTTCTTCCTTGGAAGTCCCCTCTTGTGCTACCTTTCAAGCAGCCCCCTCAGGCAGATGGGCACTTAGTCTTTGGTTATCTAAGCATTTCTGGGCTTTAGAGCCAGAGTCGGTGTCAGGGCCCTCACACAGATATATTCCTTTGTGCTATTTTGTGCTTAGAGCAAGGGAACCAGGGAGAAGCCTCTGCCCACTACCACTCCAGGGGCCAGGACAGGATCAGTAAGATACCACTCTGACCCTTCTAGTCGGGAAAACAAGAGTTGTTCCCATTTGAAAGAGAAAAGCCTGAGGCCAAAGTGGCTGAGCCAGTGGGGGCAGTTACCAACCCTCTTTACTACTGTTCTAAAAGCCCCAGTCTCCTTAAATGCTTTTTGTGGCCGATATAAAAAAATATGTAAATAAGATGTCCCTTCATTCCCTCCTCCAAGAATTTGTCTTCAGTGGTGGGTAAGTCCCCATCCCCTCCCTTAACTGGTTACATTTTAACAATAACACTTCTTAGATTACATTGTCTGAGAGAGGATGGAAGCAGCCCTTATATATTGAATACCATCTTTAATCTCCACTGTAACTATGAAGAAGGCACTATTTCCTCCCTTTTCCAGATGAGAGGACAAATTATTTGCTCTGGCTTTTTCCTCTGAACCAAGTTGACTCCTGAGTTCTTTGAGGTTCAAGATTATTCTGAAGCCCAAGGGTCCCTGTCCCACATGTCTCAGGCCCAACCTGGCACGTCTTTGGAGTCTGCCTATCTCTCTGGGTGACCTGACCAGTGCTGGTGAGGGCTTCCTGGGTCCTCTCTGGAGGGCTGGCTCTAATAGCAGCTGCCTCTAGGGCTGGCCATATAGTTATTCTTCAGTCTTTGGAGTCTGCCTATCTCTCTGGGTGACCTGACCAGTGCTGGTGAGGGCTTCCTGGGCCCTCTCTGGAGGGCTGGCTCTAATAGCAGCTGCCTCTAGGGCTGGCCATATAGTTATTCTTCATGCTAACCTGTGTCTGGGGGACTTGCTGCCATGATGGACATACTAACTAAACTTGGTCTAAACTGAACTGTTGACCAGAAGAAAGACATTAGTGGGAAAACTGATGAAATTCAAATAAGGTCTGTAGATTAGTTAATAGTATTGTATTGCTGTTGATTTCCTGGTTATGTCATATGATAACATTAGAGAAAGCTGAGTCAAGGAATTTTGTGTTGTGTTATTCAAGTCTAAAATAATTTAAAAATTATTAAGAACTTAAGCATTTAAAATAAAATTGAAAGAATTCTTAAAAAACCCCCCAAAAAACCCTGACCCGTTCCCTGGCCTCCTAACAGACCTGACCCTTCACAGGCACTGTAGTTGTGTTAGCATCAGTGTCCACCTCTGGACATTTGGATGCCATGTCAGGGGAGTCAGGACCAGCAAAACCTCGTCTGATGCATCAGCTTCCATATGCAAAATGACATTCCCGCTCTGGTCCCCACAGCAAACAAGTCTTCTGAGCAGCAACATGTGCCTTTGGACAGATAGACCTGGGTATGCTACTCACTAGCTGGCTGAGCCTCAGTTTCCCACCTGTAAAATGGACACAGCAGCCACATTTTCCTCTAAAAGGTGGTTATAAGGATTCAGTGAGCTGGTGGACATAAGGCCCTTCGCACACACTGCACATGTGATTGGCAGCCTGTGGTCAGTGGGCACTGTTCCCTTCTCCAATTGGTGGGTTGGTGGATGCCTCTGTTCTCTGGAGGAGGCCTGGGGCTAGCCAGTAGGCAGTAGGAAGCATCTGCCCTGGCCAGTCATTGGGGTCCTCTCGCCAGCTTTCTCCCATGTGGTGGAGAACACTGCTTTCTTTGGCGATGTGGTGCTGCGCTTCCCAAGGATTGTTCACCACTACTTTGACCACAACTCCAACTGGAACCTCCTTATCCGCTGGGGCATCAGCTTCTGCAATCAGACAGGCGTCTTTGACCAGGGGCCCCACTCACCCATCCTCAGCCTGGTAAGGACTGGCATGGGGGAGGTCTGGAAGCCCTCTTTCTGGTAGTGAGCTGGGAGCCTTGTATCTGCCTTTCTTTAGTTTGGCCTGAATGTCAGTGCTTGGTTTCGTTTTCTGTGATAAGCCTTGGGGGACCTTCGGCCATAGAGGTCCCATTTCAAGAGGTTCTGTGCTGACCTGAGGGTATTGCCTGACCCATATCTGCCCAAGCCTGGAGTCAGGCCCAGCATGAAGGGGTTGGCTCTCTGGTGAGCAGGAGGCAGGAGAAGGCAGAGGATGACTACCTTTTCCTCATCTGCAGATGGCCCAGGAGCTGGGAATCAGTGAGAAAGACTCCGACTTCCAGAACCCATTTAAAATAGACCACACAGAGGTGAGCTGCCAGGGGGTTGTGGCTCTGTCTGCTTTGCCTCTCTTGGACCATGGGAAGTCAGGCCTGCAGGGGCTGGGGGACTAAGGTACAACGTGAGGGCTTTGGACCCAGACATGGCTGGGTCTGCATCCAGATACTGTCACCCACTTACTGGAGCCTTTGGGCAAGTCACTGCTTCTCTCTCAGCCTCAGGCTCCCTGTCTGTTCTTGGGCTGTGGACCCCAGCTCTCAAGGACAGTTATGAGGCTATGAACACACCCATTCCAGTGCATCCCATGTCAAGTGAATGTCAGGGCAACCAGGGCAGGTCAGGCTACTTCTTCCATGCCCTTGAGCCTCTGAGCACCCATCTGGGCTTCTGTCCAACACTCCTGCATGTGCTGTCATTCCAGGGGGCTGAGGTGGGCTCTGAGGGCTGGAGGCTGCAGTTTGAGATGACAAATGGGGACATATACAGTGAAGGGAGGAAGGAATCAGAGGTGGCAGAGCCAGGAAGGGCTGCGTGGATGGCTGGAGGGACTGTACACATCAAATCTGTACAGTGGTGGCCCTGGCCCCTGGTGTAGGGAGGGGTGTCGGGTCTGTAGGGGCCTAGGATTTTACTCTGCTTGCAGGCTAACAAGCTAGCCTGCTACTATTTCATGGACATTGACAGAGACACCAGACTTTATTACAGTAAAAGCAGTAGCCACAATGTTGGTGTGATTGTGTTGGTTCCCCTTGTTCCCCCAGTTTCACAGGTGTGACACAGAGGGGCCCAGGCAGATGCTGTGCTACAGTGGGTTTGCATCACAGCCAAGGACCACCAAACTTGGGAAATTCACCACTTTTATAGTGACTGGAAGCAAAACTGCTTTTTGGGGGGAGACATTACCTCATCCTTCAAGGTTGCTCTCTGCAAATACAGTTTTGAGAAATGGCCCAAGTAAAGAGTGGTTAGGGCTTTGCATTCTTGTGTCCCCAGCAAGAACAAGCAGGGATGCTCAGGGTTGTGGCAAATTGCCTCCTCCAGTAGTCTACCCCAAACCCTCTTTCCATGTATTGGTTTAACTCAAATTTTCACATGAATATGCTGTTCAGTCTGAGTAATCTGACCAATAGAGGCTAGGACCAAGCCAGTTCAATTTGTCTCATACTTCATTTAACTAAGACTATTATCAACTGCACTCTAAATAGCAGAATGAGACCAACCTAAAGTATTGACCTCAAGCATGTCCTCCAGGGTCCCGGACTCAACCAGCTGTGAATAAATCCTGGGCGGACCAGTAGGTCTCACTTTAGACAATCAGGATATGGTTAAAACCTATTATCCAATACCTCCCACATAGGAGAGTTTAGACTGACCTGCCAATCTTTGATGTTGTTGCTAATAATTATGGTTTTCCTCACTGGGGTACCTGCCACCCCTTCTTGCAAGACTGTACCAGTGGAGGAGGGAAGCATACATAATAAGCTGCAATAGAGGCTAGGACCAAGCCAGTTCAATTTGTCTCATACTTCATTTAACTAAGACTATTATCAACTGCACTCTAAATAGCAGAATGAGACCAACCTAAAGTATTGACCTCAAGCATGTCCTCCAGGGTCCCGGACTCAACCAGCTGTGAATAAATCCTGGGCGGACCAGTAGGTCTCACTTTAGACAATCAGGATATGGTTAAAACCTATTATCCAATACCTCCCACATAGGAGAGTTTAGACTGACCTGCCAATCTTTGATGTTGTTGCTAATAATTATGGTTTTCCTCACTGGGGTACCTGCCACCCCTTCTTGCAAGACTGTACCAGTGGAGGAGGGAAGCATACATAATAAGCTGTGGGACCCCCTGAGGGGGAGTCTGACCCAGTCTTGGCAGGTCGGTGGTGGAGGCTGAGGGATGAATAAGAGTTGCTGGGTGGGCCAGCTGAGGGAGGACCTTCCAGGCAGAGGGATGAGCTTGTACGAAGGCTCAGATGCATAGCATACCTATTCATTTAACATTTAGTGAGCATCTACGGAATCCCAGCCCTTGGAAAGCAGGACTAGCCCTCTTCTCCTAGAGCAGCATTCTGGTTGGGGGAGACAGATGGTCAATAAGAAATGAATAATATAATAGGTGGTGACAAGGGCTGTGGAGAAAAAAGCAGGGGATGTGGTTAAGGAATGCCTGGGGTAAGGTAGGGGTACAGTCATAATTTTATATGGCTTGGACACAGTCTTACTGAAAGATCTGAAGGAAGTGAGAGAGCTAGCTGTGTATCTCGGGGAAGAACATTCCAGGCTGAAGGAGCAGCGAGTGCAAAAGCTGTGCGTCGGGAACATGTTGGGGGTGGGAGGCAGTTGAGGAGATGAGGTCAAAGTTGTAGGCCAGATCCCAAGACCCTCGGAGGTCTTTGTGGGGGGGCTTTGGCATTCACTCTGAGAGGCCTGGAGAGCAGGGTGATGGGCTCTGACTTACCACTTTAAAAGGATCCATCTGGCTGCTGTGTGGAACATCGTCTGGGGGCCAGAGTAGGAGCAGGGACTCAGGCGGGGAGGTTGCTGTGCTTGTTCATTTGGGAGGTAAAGGTGGCTTGAATCAGGGTGGTGACGGTGGAGCTAGTAAGAAATGGTCGGATCCTGGTTCTCTTTTGGAAGTAGTGCGAGTGCGATTTGCAGAGGAAGCAGATTGTGGTGTGTGTGTGTATGAGAAAGAGAGAGAGAGAGACAGACATTAAGGATGACCCAAAGATTTGGGGCCTGAACATCTGGAAAAACGAGGCTGCCATTTCCTCAAATGGGTAGGCTGAGGTGGGAGCAGACTGAGGGTTGGAGAGGGAGTTGAGTGTTTCTGTACCTGGTGAGCATCTGAATGAAGATATCAAGGAGGCAGTTGGATATATGATTTTAAATTTCAAGGAGGATGGAAGCTGGAGCGGTAAATGTGAGAGTCATGCCTATTAGAAGGGTAGGACGAGATCACCTGAGGGTCGGGCAAGTGAAGAAGCAGTCTGAGGCCTGAGGCCTGGGATGTGGCTGCAATTAGGTTGGGGGAATGAAGAGGAACCAGCAACCGCCCCCCAGAAGCTGTCAGCATGATAGTATCAAACCTAAGAGAGCGTAGTTTCCCTGAAGCCATGTGCCACTTGGGAAGCGTGGCGGCACTCCCGCCGAGGGTTCGGATCCCACATACAGACCGGTTCCCGCTCACTGGCTGAGCGAGGCGCAGGAGCAACACCGAGGGTTGCGATCCCGTTGCTGGTCCCGGTCCGGTACGGGGGCGACACTGAGGGTTGCGATCTGTTGCTGGACACGGAAAAAGAAAAAAAAAGAAAAAAAAAAAAGCCATGTGAGGAAAGCACTACAGGAAGGAGGGAGTGATCAGCTTGTCAGACACTGCCTGGAGGTGAAGGAAGATGAGGCCTGAGAATCAACTACCTGATTTAGCAACATGGAGGCCATTGTGGTCTTGATAAAAGCTGTTTTGGTGGAGTGGTGGGGACGAAAGATTGGATTTCGAGAGAACAGGAAGAATGTAAGTGGACGTGGCAAGTATGAACAGCTCTCTTGACGAGTCTTGCTTTCAAGGAGAGCAGACCGATGGGAGAATAGCTGCACGGGGATGTGGGCTCAAAGTTTAGTCATTTGGGAGATACTACAGCATGTTTGTGTGTTGATGGGGCTGATCCATTTGGGAGTGAAGAACTGATGATGTGGGGTAGAGGGGAGGTGAGTTGCTGGAGCCTCATCCAGAGGAGGAGAGGAGGGCTGAGATATGGTGCCATGGGGAAGGGTTGGCTTTGCCTGGAAGAGCAGAACCTTAACCTTGAACAAGAGAGGAGGTGGAGTATATGGGCACAGAGGCAAACGGGTTGGTGGGTGTGGTGGTGGCAGCTTGTGGAAGTTGTCTTGTGCATACTCATTCTATGTGAAATAGGAAGCAAGGTCATGGTCTGGGAGTGAGGAAGGGAGTGCTGGAGGCTTGAGGAAAAGGTATGTGTAGGAGAGTGGGAGAGTGAGTGGACCAGGGAACTGTCCTGGATTGCCAGGCAGCACGATGCTTGAGGTTAGCGTAAGGAATTTAAAGTGAGACCAGACATTGCGGGGCTGGAGTAAGCAGGAGGTTGGATCTATCCAGACCTGAGGTTTAGCTATGTGCGTGCAGTGGAGGAAGAGAGACGTGAGTGTTGAGGTGTATGCAAAGGAGTGGTTTTAATGATGGGCCACAACTCTAATCCGTGACAGGGGAAGCGAGACTGTGAGTGGGACAACAGACAGTGAAAAGGTAGTAGGAACAATGGATTATAGGTCATGGTGGGATCAAAGAAATGGTAGGGTTAGGGAGTTAGGAAAGATAGGAGGTGGTGGCCAGAGTGGAATGCTTGATGTTATGGAGGGTATGGTCACTGGCAGGGGCAGGCAGAGCACCATTGCTGGGCAGCAGCAGGAGATGAGGCTGGAGAGATGGGCTGAGGTCTGGGGCCTTGAAGGCCAAGCTTAGGAGTGTGGGACTCTATCCAGACTGGATAGATCTGGACTGGATCCAGATGCATTTCACAGAGCAGGCAATGAAGAGTGACTTTGGAGCAAAGAGGCAATAAACTGACAACTGGCACAACATGAAGGCAGCCGAGGCTCAGAGAGGTACAGTAATAACGTGCCTGAGGTCTCATAACCAGTAAATGATGGAGCCAGAATCGAATGCAGGCATCTACCTCTCCTGCTGTGCTCTTAACCACCATGCTGTGTTGGCCATCAGCATGGTAATCCAGCCCAGGATGGTCAGGTGTGATTGGAGAAGGCCAGGGAAAGCTTCCTGGAGGAGACATCTAAACTTAGACTTGATGGATGAGTAAACATTGCCCAGCTTAGGTGGGGAAGGGAGAAGAGAAAGGGATGGGCATATTTCTCTTCTGACTCATCTAGGTTTGGGCTCCCCTGGTGAGGCTGAGCCAGCTGGGGCTAGAGGAGCTGGGATCTCTTGACTTGCTCTTCCCCAGCCAGAGTCAGAGAGTATGGGGTCCTCTGTGGCTTGAGGAGTCTCCCTGTTTACCCCTCCAAAGAGGATCAGGATTTATGTGTACAGATAGGAGATAGGGGAAGCACTGGGCAGGGATGTGGGAGTCCTGGGGGCTAATTCCACGTGAGCCTCCCACTTGCTGTGTGACTTGAACACATCACTTGCTCTCTCTGAGTCAAGTGTCGTTTCTGCCATCTTCCTAAGGCATGACTCAATCTAACCTGTTAGGTAGATTACTCCACAAGGTGGAGCTCTTAGTTTGTTTTAAATGTCTATCTTAATCAAACGTTTGTCAAATTTGCCCTAAGAACAAATAAGAGGCATGTTTCACAGCATAGCTACCTGAGTTTGGGGCATGATTGTATTTTATATTCTAGTATGGCTCATTCATTTAAAAGACACACTGAGTGCTGTCAAGAAGCCAGGCAGACCCTGTGCTAGGGGCTTGTAGCATAGTGGTGAGTAACATCTGACACCATCTTCCTGTTCTGATGGAATGGGAGGGTGACAGGCAGGAAGTGAGTGAGCACATAGGACAAGCGCTGAGAAAGAATCAGCACAAAGTAGAAGACAGCACAGCCCTGAGGAAGCAGCCCTGGCAGGGAGTCAGGGCAGGTCCTGAGGGCAGCAACACCTGAGCTGGAGCTAATGTGTCAAAGGGGCATGGCTGGATAGAGATTCTGGGCCTAGGCCACAGCATATGCAAAGGCTTGGAAGTGGGAGGGCACAGGGACTCCAGGAATTGAAAGGCGGGGAGTGCGAGGTAGGGATGAAGAGGTGGGCGGGGTGGGCCTGCTCCTGCACCATATGGAGCTTTATCCTGGGAATCGTGGAGAGCCATGGGAGGGTTGTAAACAGGCGTGTGACACGACCGGATTTACAATTTGGAAAGATCTAACTGCAGTGAGGAGAATGGCCTGAGAGAGACCAAAGTGGATGTGGAGAGACTTGGGAGGTTCCTGGAGTCATGGAGGAAAGAGGTGGAGGTGGTGATGGAAATAGCAGTAGGAGAGACACTCAGGGGTCAAAGTGAGCCAGGCTTAGCAGTGGATTCAGTGTGGAGGGAGAGGAGGTGCCTGCTTGGGGAGAGGGGCTCCTCAGTTTCACCTAGACTGGGGAATGGGCACCACTATTCATCAGGGCAGGAACTCGGGAAGAGAACTGGGCTTTGGGGAGATTGAACCATGGCGACTTTGGGACATCCTGGTAGAGCTGTCAGGCAGCAGTTAGACATGGAGATATGAGTTTGAGTGGTAATTGACCACATAGGCTAACAGAAGCTCTGGGTTAAGTGAGGCCGTCTGGGGAGAGAGCAGGGGGTCTAGGACCACAGTTGCATGTCCCTACTGAAGTCCTCATCCTCCCTGTGCTCCCATCTCTTCACCAGCCATCCTTCTTTTCTTCCTCCCACCTCTTGTTCAGGGAGTTTGACCTCTGATCCACCCCTGCTCATGTGCACTTCCTTGCGTAGAGACCGCAACTTGTTCAAAGCAGCAGCCCACCTGTTGCCTATGACCTGCGCTGGCTTCCCTCTCCTCCTCCTGAAGGGTACGGCTGGCAGGGCTTCTGGAGTCTGTGGTTGTCTCAGCCACTCTGCCCTCTCACTCTGTTTCTTGTTTCTCAGATGCCCCATGCAGGGTCACACCTCAGCATCTGTCCCTCTACCTGGAATGCCCTTCTCTTCCCTCATGGTCTGTGGTTGTCTCAGCCACTCTGCCCTCTCACTCTGTTTCTTGTTTCTCAGATGCCCATGCAGGGTCACACCTCAGCATCTGTCCCTCTACCTGGAATGCCCTTCTCTTCCCTCATCCTGTTTGCTTGGCAAACTCCTGCTTATCTTTCAAGACCTACTGAGCTGTTTTCCCCAAGCCCATTTAAATATCTGGGGCTCCCTGAGGGCAGGTCCTGTGTTCAAGCAACTTTCCTGTCCCTACATCCTGCCAGCAGCCTAGTTCAGAGCAGACTCTCTGCTGCCAGCAGACTAAATCAGTCCGCTCTGCTCTTCCCCTCAGTTCATTCCCAGCACTGACCCTTTCCAGAAGGCCCTGAGAGAAGAAGAGAAACGCCGGAAGAAAGAGGAGAAGAGGAAGGAGATCCGAAAAGGCCCGAGGATCTCAAGAACCCAGTCTGAGTTATAGCCCTGGTTCAGCTCAGGGCTCAAGGGACCAGGAAGAGGCCAGTCAGGAGGAAGAGGAGGAGGTCATGTGGTTGTGGTGTAGTGGCATCGGGCCATGGCGGTGAGCACCAGCCCCTTCCAGATGGGGAGGCCACATTTGCTTGGCCCCCAGGAGCTGGATCTGAGCCCCTGCTGAAGGAACTGAGCCTCAAGGGGCTGGATCTCCTCCCGGGGCATCCCTGGAGGGTACGCCAAGGGGGCCTTTTGAGGACACTGTGCTGCAGACGTGACTCTGTGGAGACTGCTGAGGGAGGCAGGAAGGGGCCCTCCTGGTAGGTTAGGACTGCTGCCCCTCTGGCTGCTGCCTTTTGTGGGGAAGCAGCAGAACCAGGATCTGAGCCACAGCTGAAGGTGCAATGCCTACTGTGGGCCCCACTGTGTCACTGAGCAACCCAGCATACGCCCCAGTCCCTCTGCAGAGACACAATAAAAGTCAGCAAACTTTGGGCTGACTGAGGCTGGTGAGGGGGCTGTGAGCAGATCAGGGGCCCTTTGGGATGTGGAGACCAGCTTGGAAGCTGTTCCCACCTCATCAGGAGGAGCCCCAGGCCCTGGCAGGGCAGAGAAGCAGGAACTTGGCTTAGGCCTCCTGTTACTCCTTAGTACTATCCTCAATGAAGGATTAGTGTTGAGAGGGGACCCAGAAGTGTCCTGGGAGGATTTTGAGCCCAATAAGACCTTGGAATAATGTGATTTTCTGTCCTCAGATATCTGGGGGCAGTCATTGAACAGGCGTGGAGAAGTCAACTTGCCTCTTTGGCAATGCTGGAAGACTCTCAACTTCTGGGTGGGGGCTACAGGAGGAGAGGCTGCAGCCCTGCAGGAGGCTATGCTTTGGTAATGGCAGGGCTGCCCTGAACTGGATTAGTCAGAGTGAGCTCCCTGTCTCAGAAGGTGTGCAAGCAGAGACCCATGGTCACAGGACTTACATACTGACCCTGGCCCAGCCCTTCCCTTTCCTGAGGCTTCATTGGCAAAATGAATTTAATGATGTCTGGACCCCCTGTCTGGCCCTAATCTGCTTCTTTGAGGTTATTAACCTTCCCTATTGGCCAGGGCAGCAAAGGGAAGCCTGATCTTAAGGAGGCCTCATGGAAGGGCCCAGAACATCCTACACCCCATCAGTTACTCAGAAGAAGTAAGGGGACAGCTGGAAGAGAGCTGGATGTGGCTGGGAGGAGGGCTGAGGAAGTTTTCCCATCAGAACTGCCCACTAGCCACCCAGTCCCCCTCACTGAGCAGGGGAGGCAGGGGCCAGGTGGTGGGACTGACTTGGCAGACCTGGGCTCCATCTCCAGCACTGCCCCTCCCTGTCTGTGTGACCCTGCCACATTTCTGTGAGGAGTACATAAGATGGTGCACACTAGAGTTTGTGAACTGAAGGGCTGTACTATGAGAAAAGGTCAGATTCACTGGATTAGCTGTTTAACCTGTCCTGGTGCCAGCAGGTGGAGCTGGGGATCAGGACCAGCCCCTAGGCTCTTCTTGTCCTCTTCATGCTGGAGATGGGTGGTTGCTGACTTTGCAGGGAAGGTGCTTAACTGGAGAAAAAAGTTTCCAAGAACAAGGCCTGCTTGGCAGTGGACCTAGCTTTCTTGGGGTGGCAGGGATGTTAAAGGATGCCTCAGGACAGTGCAGAGGTGGTTCTAGCTTTGGCTGGGGGTCCCACTGAGTGACTTCTAGGGGCTTATCAGCAGGATTTTCATAATTTGAAACAGAGCTGGGGAACTGCGAAGTGATGAGGGAGTCAGCCCAGGGAGGTGGGAAGACCCAGACAACTTGGGACTAGCCTAGGCTCTGTCCCTTGCCAGCTGTTGTCATCAGAATCGGACACTTCTCAGTCAGATCCTTGGGTCCCCCATCTCAGAACGCCCAGGTGTTTGGGAGGATAAGAGCCTGTGTACATGGCCCTTGTAGGCAGAAGTTGCCTGGAACTTATCAGTGATAGGTGTCCTTCTCTGATGGTTCTTTGTTCATCCCATAGATTTACTGAGTGCCCACTGTGCAGAGCCAAAGAGAGGGGCCTAGTCTTATCTGTCTTCTCATCTACTCCATCTGGCACCTTCTTCCTCTTGGTCTCTTCCCTCCACACCTTCAGTCTTCTTCACCTTGTTTAATCCCATCCTCTCCACCATCAAATGGGCCCAAGTTTTCCTGACATCAAAGAAACAAACAGAAACTCTGTTCACCCCCCCTTTCCTTCCCTTTGCTGCCATTATTGATTGTTGTGGCCACTTGTTCCATGTACCCACCTTATGAATTTTACTGCAGGCAGAGCCCACCTTCCTCACCTCCCCTCCGTCCCCTCAGATGTAAAGGCTCAAGGGTACTTGTTTGTCCAGCTTCCCCTTGCAACGGGGATTCAGTTATGTAACTGTAGCTCCACCAACTGGATGTACCCAGTCTGTGTGGGAGTTGTGCTGTGTTAGTGGTGGCCGCAGGTACCAGGGGTAGCAGTGGAGGGGTGGTTCTAGTGGCCAGTCCACTGACGGGGTGCCCAGTGGTGGCAACAGTGATGTTTTCAGTGTGGTCTTAGATGTTACTGTCTACTGAGCTCCCAGACCTGGTCTGTGCACCCCTGGAGAGTCTGGGAGCTCCCTAATATCATTCAAGATGGGTTTCTCAATAGGGGCACTACTGACACTTTGGGCCAGATAATTTTTTGTTGTGTAAGGAGGGCTGTTCTGTGTACTGTAGGATATTTAGCAGTATCCCTGGCCTCTACCCACTAGATGCCAGTAGCAATCCCACAGTATGACAACCAAAAATGTCTCCAGACATTGCTAGGTGTCTCCTGGGGGGTGAAACATCCCTGGACCTCATCCCTTCTCCCTCCTTATCCCAGGCCCACATCTCCCTCTGCCCTCTCCATTCATGGCCCTCAGGGAGATGCTGTTGACAGCTTCTCCCACTTGAGATGATCCTCTCAGGCCATTTTCCTGGTTCTTGTCCTGGTTCTCGGCCCTCAGTCTGAGCCTGCTCCATCTCTTCTTCCCGATTCCTCTTTTCTTACCTACCCCTTAAAGAAGAGTTTTTTGACTTAGTCTTTCTTCTTCACTCTTTTTTTCTTGGACAGCCGGATCCTCTAACCTTAAAGCTGATGGCAACTGCCCTGTTACCTTCTGATAACCCTTATTGCTTATGTTTCAGTTTATCCAAAACCAAACTTATTTTCCACACTCTAAACTGCCGACTGCCCGCACACGCACACACACACACACACACTGTGTCAAACAGTGGGGTACTTGCTCTTGGTTAATCCATCTGGAAGGCTTCCTGGAGAAAGTGGTATCTGAACTGAATCCTGAAAGACTGGGGAGGAGAGAGAAGGGGATAGGAACTTTGAGCAAAGGCCTCAAAGGGGAGGTGTCAGAGGAAGTAAATGAAAAACCGTATGCGAAGTTCTCCTGTGACTTGTAGGAGGTGCCCAGTCCATGGTAGATATTAATGGTCAGCTAGTCCATTCCCTCCCTTTTCAGATGAAGAACCCAAGTCCTGAGGTATGACTTGTCAAAGACTACTCCACCCCTTAGAGCCGTCCTCTGTCCTCCCAGCCAGAGCAAGGTGCCACCAAGAAAAGATGTTCAGTTAGGTAGACTTGAGGGTCAGAAGGAAAATGTCAGTGTTTTGCTGAGGTTTGGGTCCAGTGCGCCACCATTCTTCCACCATTTCTACTGAGCCTTCATTTGTGCCCTCTCAGGCCACTTGGCTAGGCACAATGGCCTCTGGGCCAGTCCAGTTGGGAGCCATGGGAACAGCTGTAGAGTGGGAAGCACTGCCTGCCTCCCTGGCCTCCTGGTGCATAGGGCAGCCTTCTGCAGGGGGTTACTGCGGCTCTGGAGTGGGAGGGCACTGGACTAAAGTAAGTTGTATAGGAGTTGTTGCTGCATCCTGCCAGTCACACATCAGTGCAAGGAGCCCTGTGAGAGCTACTGAGGCACAGTTGAAGACTGACACCATCCAGCTCAGTGCTGGGTCCAAAACACGTCACAGGGTTCGGTTTTCTGTTTCTTTCAGGGCGAGACTGATATGATCTATGTCAACTTCCCTGCGTGTAAACAATAAAGAGAACATTCTTGTCTTGCTTTCCCCCAAAATAAGACACTTTCTTATTAGTTATACATGTTGATTACAAAAAGCAATTTAAACAATACTGAAATAGCAAGAAGGAAGTAAAATTCACCCCAAATCCCACCACTCCCATAACCACAATTGACAGCCAGCTATTGGGCCTTCCAACCTTTTTACCCTTCAGGTGAGCACACAGATCCTTATTTTTTTCAATTACAATAGCTACCTTTTATGGCCTTTTACTGTATGCCAGGACTTATGCCAAGTGCTGGCTGGCACAGCTCTTTCTGCCTCAAGAACGTTGTCTATGTCATCTGTCCCCTGGCTACACCAGACACAGTTCTCTCATAATTTTAGGTTTCATCTTAAATGTCACTTCTTCAGAGTCTTCCTGACATCACAAGTCAGGTCCCTTGTTAGTTTTGTCACACACATTGCTTTTTTTTTTCATAACTTGTACCATCATCTGTTATTTATTTTTGTGTTGAATATTTGTTTATTTTTCATTAGACTGGAAGCTCTCAGAGGGCAGGAACTGTTTGCTGCAGAGATGTTTCAATAAATTGTCAAATGAATGTACAAATCATCTCATTTAATCTTCACAACTATGAGGGGTGCTATTTTATCCCCATTTTAGACATGACAAAACTGAGGCTTAGAACAATTTCTTAACCATCCCAAGGTCACACAGTGAATTAGTGGATCCGTGTATGTGTCTGCCTCCACACAGCCTTGATACGGCTGCCTAAACAACAGTGACCTCCCACAGACTAGCAGGAAACTCACTTTTCCCATTTATCAATATATTGTGAAAGCCTTTTCTTGTCAATACTGCGCATAAGTTTTAATGATGCCATACTATTTCATCGTGTGGATGTAATTTATACAGTCCCTTGTTGGGCTCAATTTTTCCCAGTCACAGAGGACCTTTGTGATGAATGTCTTTGAACATAAATATTTCGGCACTTCTTTGAGCACTTGTACTTTTATTCCTTAGGATAAATTTCTAGACGTTTGCACGTTTGTTTGCAATGTGACCAGCTGCAAGATGGGGTGGCGTGAGGCGCTTGAAAGAGTGGGAATCTGTGGGTGGGCTGCATGTCAGAATCCCTGTGGGACTTTTTCAAGATATTTGTGCCAGGAACACCTGAGGAGGCTGATGGTGGGCCTGAACATTGGCATTGTATTAAATAAAGGTCTTCTGTGGTTCTGAGGTTCCTGGGATTGAGGACCACTGAACTAAGCACGTGGTCGTGGTCGCGGTATATGCTGAGTGCACTTGGACAATTCGCAGCCCGTCAAGCGTTCGTTGCCACCTTTCTAAGGGGGTTCGGAGGAGCGTGACTTGGATGATTTCTTTCGTCCCCGACTGTTGGGAGGCTCGGTTTGATTCTACCCTCCTTCCCAGGCTGGCAGGGCGGGAGCGAGGGAGGGAGGCCCAAGCTGAGAAGGTGACGTAATGTGCTCGCAGCCTGGGCCGGAGGCGGCGGGCAGTCGCGGGTGGAAGGTGGCATATTAACCCTTCAATCCCAGGCCAGTGGGCGGAGTTGCTCGTGGAGCAGATCCAACTGAGAAGGGAGCGGCTCCTTTAAACAAGTAAAAGTAGGTTGGGCTGAGGACTAGGCGGTTACTCCGCCTAAGCTCCCAGCCCGTGAGAGGCGGGGCCTCACTATGCAAATCTGAGCTGCTGATCGATGACGTACCATCACCCCACGCGCCGCTTCGCGCGTCGATTGGCTGAGACGAGCCTGGTCCCATTGACAACAAACAAGCGGGCGCTGCGGCTGGGGGCGGGGCCGCAGAGGGTGCGGGTGGGGCGGGGGAATCCCACCCCGCCCCTTCCGCGCGGCGCCGGGGCTCAGCGCAAACATGGCCGCGGCTGGCGCTGGCCGGTGAGGCGGTACCGGGCGGGGGCTGTCGGGTGTCATGGGCGGTGGCAGCGGCACCAACCACGCGTCTACCTGAGCGGAACCGCAGGGAGGCCTCTGCGCCGACCCGGGGATGGACGAGAGCAGCGAGCTGGGCGGTCTGGAGACCATGGAGACCCTCACAGAGCTGGGCGACGAGCTGACTCTGGGAGACATCGACGGTGAGTGGTGGGTGGCGGGGAGGGCGGGGAGGAAGGGGTTACGGCGGTGTGCGCGGGTGCGTGTGCGCCCATCCCCGGACAGCCCCGGCTTGCGCGGAAAGGTCGCCCTGGCGGTCCCCAACGCTTCTGGAGCGATAGGTCTGCGCCCCGGCCCGGCCGCTCCGGAGGCCGTAGCATCTGCGACGCCGCAGGGCTGGGAGCGGAGCGGGGGTCGCGGGTCCCAGAGCGCGGGGCCGGGGGCGTCGCTGGGAGTGGCCTGAGGAGAGCGCGTGGCCGCCACCTTTCTCGCGCGCCCACACTGGCTGCCATTCGTCCTGCTCTCCCGTCGCCGGGGGCCCCGCGTCGCACCTGTCGCTCCTTGCCCGGCCGCGGGGGCGGCTTTGGGATTCCCCAGACAGGGCCCCAGGTTCCTCTCCCCCAACCCCAGGTCTTCCTGTGATTGACCGACGGCTGGTCGCCGGGCGCCTCGGGAAACTTTGGGAAACGGCTGCAAAAGCAAGTTGAGGGAGTGAGCGGTGGCGGCGGAGTGTGGACGCATCTCTCCGGGATGAACACCCGGGCGTTTCTCCTGTCGCGCTGCAAAGGGAGTTCAGTTGTGGCCCCTCGGGTACTGGCTGGGTAGCGGTTGGCCTTTGTTCAGCGGCCTTAACAGCGGAGTGGAGGAGCTGGAAGGAGCCCAGGGATCCTCTCTTGCAATGCTGTCATTTTGTGACTGTGGGAACCAAGGTTTGGAGAGGGTCAGCGACTTGCCCAAGGTCACCTAGCTGTTTACAGAGCCTGTTTCTTCCTGTTCCTGAGCCAGTATTGGTTTCTTTCCACCTCACGTTTAGGGACGAGGAGTCCAATAAATAGGATAGTAATCTTAATGGTAATTTAATAGTTGGGCTCTTCTAGCCCCCAGGTACTTCTTATTATTTCACTTATTCTCACAACAATCTTGTGAGATAGATATTCTTGTTCCTATTTTATAGGAGACTTAGGCCAGATGTTAACTTGTCTAAGGTTACTCACCTTAGAGAAGACAAAACCCATGCACTTGAGCAGTTAATTCAGGTTCGTTGTGCTTTTCAGTTACAAAATGCTTTTGCATCTAGGATCTCACTACAGCCTTGCAGGCAAGTGTGATAGCTTCATCCCCATTGTGCAGGTGAAGAAACAGAGGCAGCAGAAGATGCCTAATTAAAAAGAATCTGTTTGGGGCTGGCCCATGGCTCACTTGGGAGAGTGTGGTACTGATAACACCAAGGCCACGGGTTAAGATCCCCTTACTGGTCATCTTTAAAAAAAAAAAAGAATGCCATTTTTCCATTTTGCTTTTGTAACATTTATCCCCTTAGCTTGTCCTTGCTTTCCATTTTGGTCATCTGGGCAGTGTGGTAAGACCTTCACTGAAACCCCTCTGCTAACCACAGACTCTTCCACTAAGTGCTCCTGAATACAGAGATGTGTTGACAAATGTGGGGTATGGTGGGTTCTTGGAACATAAGAATGGCAGTTAACATGTTTTGAGCATTTAAGTGCCAGGCCCTGTGTTAAGCACTCATACATGTTCTCAGTCCTCATAACAACACTATCAGGTAGAGATGACCATTATACTAGTCATCTCCCTCTCACAGATCCTGAAACTGAGGCCCAGGGTGGTTCATTAACTTACCCAAGGTTACACAGCCGGTAAAAAGTATGTCCAAAGCTGCTTACCAGAAGGGGCACAAAAAGAAATTCATGTGCATTTTGCATTCCTATTCCATGGTTGATCCCTATTCGTCTTAATTTGTAATGTGTTAAATTACCTTGTGGTTAATATTAACTTTTATCCTCATAGATTTCTGAATAAAGTGTCTACTCTGGAAACTACCACAGTGGTTTCACAGGTTCTTCTGCCAGGTTTGGGAAAAGTGGTTCGCTGTCTTCAGTTGGTCAACAAATATTCCATTGCAGGCTGGTTACTGAGCTGCAAGGAACCATGAAAGATAGAATTGTATGGCCTCATGGAGCTTGAGATGAGTAACAAACCGTAGTGCTGAGTATAGAACAGTTTACGATTGCACAGGGCAGTAAGTGAAAGTCAACAGTGAGGGAGCTTGGTAAAGGCTGGCTTAATAGGAAGACCATACCAAGGAGGTAGCCCTTGATGTGGGCCTTGGAGGACAAGAAGGGTTGGGATGGTTGAAGGCCAATGGTCTGCAGATACAAGTATCCCTTGATACTCACTCATCTGTCCCCCTTCCAGGATGTTAGCTTCCTGGGGGCAGGGACCTTAGTTTTGTTCACACAGAATTCTTTGCACCTAGAACAGTTCCTGGCACAGTAAGAGTGACCACTAAGTATTTGTGGAAGGCCTGAATGAATCCAGTGACCTTGGGCTGGGCAGGATACTAAGTCATACCGGTCATAGTCTTTGGAGGTGGATTAGATCATGGTTGGCCAACCCACCTGCTGCTAGGAGCCAAGCAGGAAAGGAAGAGGAGAGACTGTGAATGGGAGTAGATTTACTTCCTATGTATGTATATGGTGGGGATAAGGGTTACTTGCAAGCTTGAGAACTCATGCCTGCCTCCAGGAGGTACAGGCAGGCAGGAATCCTACATTCAACAGTCTGCTCTGCTCCAACCCATCGGTACCCTTTGGGGGTATGGCCCAAGGAGACCACATCCATTCACTCACAAAGCACATCTCTTGAGTGGCTTCTAAATAGCCCCACAGTGGACAGAGTGCTGAGGATAGCTTTGAACCAGACAGACAAGGTCTCTTTTCTCTCAGAGAGCTTAATTTCTTGGTGGAGGAAACACAGTTATGTAAAATAAAAGAACAGTTTTGGCAGGGTGCTTTGAAAAAAAATTAAATGAGATCACAGTGTAGAGAATGACTGGGATAGCCTACTTTAGACTAGGATAGTCCAGGGAAGATTTTAGATTAGGATAGTCTATGGAAGCTTCTTGAAAAAGGTATCAGTGTCTCTTTTTCAAGAGATGCCCAAGTCTGGATTTTTATTTGAAATCTCTAGATTTTTAAATGTTGGCCCAATTCTTTTTAGAAACAACCCAACAAAGCATGTATGCTAGCAGCAGAATATTCATTGTCCTAGGCCCTCAGGTCTCTTGTTACAGAATAGCCACACCACTTCCTTTTGTGGTATATGTCTGTATTTTGATCTGTAAGCCAGGCCTTTAGGAGGGACAGAGAGGTGAGATCCATTTCCACTGGAATCAGGAGAGCTATAGTCATGGAGGTGACCTTTTTTCTAGGTCCAAAGGGTGGGTGGCAGGAGTAGCATGATGAGCATGTGGAAGAAGGACTGAGGTGCCTTAGAAATAAAAACTAATATAGCTTTCTTGGAATATACAGCATGTGTAAGGAAACAGTAGAAATGAGATCTGAGAAGTGAGTTGGAGCCAAATTGTGCTCCAGACACAGATGTTTTGTGGAATGTAGGGAGGGAATTGTTGAAGATTTTCAAACGGGGGGATGACATTATTCATGGGTTTTCAGGAAACTTAACTGTGGTGATAGGCAAGGAAGATTGGAGGCAGGGAGACCAATTAGGAGGAAACTGCAATCATGATACTAAGAGGGTGGGGGGATTTGGATAGGAATTGGCTGTCATGCAAGATGCTGGACTTGACAGGACATGGCCCCAGTGAAGGCTTGGCCCTGAAGGCAGAACAGAGGTGGAATTGAGATCCCATTAAGGCTTTGAGCCTGTGGTATTGGGTGAGTTAAGAAGCTAGCAGGAAGAGCTGGTTTGGGGAGATGATGAAAATTTCTCTTAAATGGGTTGGAATTGAGGTGCCTGGGAGTCATCCAGTAGGAGATGGGAGGCAGATACCCAGGAGAAGGTTAAAATGGGGGATGGAGATTGAGGAACAGTCACTGTTCATGAGTTGAAGATAGAGGTGAGAGGAGAGAACTGGGAGGTTTGAGGTCAGGAAAGTGTAATAAACTAAGAAGAGGTGAGCTTTTCAAGGAGCGGTCATATGGTGGAAACAGTGCTGCAGAGGATAGCAAGGATGTCAAGGCCATGAAAGAAGTCATGCGATTTTTCAATTAGGAGATTGACCTTTGACAGCAGGCAGATGAGGGTGTCCAAGGCTAGATAAAGCTGGAAGGAGTCAGGAGTGGGTGATGGTCAAGTAGAGGCAGTTGTTCTCTTTGGAGAAGGTTAAAGAAGTTTTTCAATGAGCTAATCTACTTTCTGTCTTTATGGGTTTCCCTATTCTGGACATTTCATAAATGAAATCAGACAGTATATGGCTTCTTTCACTTAGCATAATGTCGTGCAGGTTCATCATGTTGCAGTATGGTGTTCCATTGTATGCACATTTTGTTTATCCACTCATCAGCTGATGGACATTTGGGCTGTTTCCACTTTTTGGCTATTGTAAATGAAGCTGCTGTGAACATTTGTGTACAAGTTTTTGCATGGACAAACGTGTTCATTTCTCTTGGGTAGATTTTCTACATTTTTATTGTTTGTATATACCTAGGACTTACAATAATAGCCCCATGTATTCATTTGCTTAGTTTCCATGTTCTTGTAACTAATTCAGCCCTAACTCTTGTAACAAACTCTCAGTGTGCTGGTCAGTTCCTTTCTTTCCTGGAGCCCTCCCTTTTTTTTGCTCCATGTGATGGTTGTTGTTCAGGTCTGCTCTTCTGCACTTCTCTTGGGACTTATTTCATCATCACGCTTGGGGGTGGGGGTGGGGGGTTGAAGCTCCTCTTCCCTAGTTCTTGTCTTTTTACTCTCTTGTTTTGATGGAGCACATCCTCCAGTAGCTTCCTGAGAAAGAATACATTGGAGGTGAAATTTTTGAGCCTTTGCTTGTTTAAAAAATCTTCATTCTAACCTTACTCCAATTTGATGGTTTGGTTGAGTTTAGAATTTTAGGTTAGACATAATTTTATATTGGAATTTTGAGGGCATTGCCTGGTCATCTTGTAGTGTCTAGTAGTTGAGAAATCTGATACCATTTGATACTTTTTTTTTTGGCAATTGGCCA